AAAATCACACAACCAATCCTTTCAGGAACTGCTTGTTTTCAGACCCCTGCACAAAAATTTCAAGAATTGCTAGAACTGGGCTGGGGATTTAGCTCAGTGGTTCCACCGCCTGCCTTGCAAGCACAGGGACCCGAGTTTGATCCCCGGTACCAAAAAAAAAAAAAGAACAGCTAGAACTGGGCCGGGGATTTAGCTCAGTGGTACCATGGTTGCCTCGCAAGCACAAGGTCCCGAGTTCGATCCCCTGGTACCAAAACCAAAAACAAAGAATTGCTAGAACAAGACAAGGCAAAAGCAAACTATATTTTCTTATTAAAAGTTCTTTTAGGCTCTCCTCACAACGGCGCTTCCTCACGCGGAGGTCGGAGCTGCGGCACTGCAGGCCTGGGCTGCTGCTCGAGCGCCACCCCGCTCTCGTCCTCGGGGCTCTGGGTCCCCTCGCTCTCCGCCGCTGCCCAGGAGTTTAACAAGAAACCAAAGTTTTGGTTCAAATATATTTTGAATTGAAGCCAGAAATGTGCTAGGCTTTAGATTCTTTCATTTGATTGAGCTATCCCAAAGTCTATGCGCAGAGGGCCCCCTATCACCCGGGTGGTGTGTTCGCGGCTACAACGTGGAAGTCTGAGACAAAATCAAGGGCATAAGTGGGGTTGAAGGTGTGCCACTATCTACACAGTGGGGACCTCAAGGCTATTTCTACCCAATCCAGATTGCGCAGTATGGGTTAAGTCATTACAGCAAAAACCTGGCCGAGAAACCCCCTCATATAGAGGTATATGAAACAGGGAAGACAGGGACAAAAACAGCAAAACTAAGGACTAGACTGTGCCCAAGGGCTGTTTTATGGCCAGTGTGGCTGATAAGTCTAGATTCACCAATGTGGGCAGTTCATTGCCCCAGGTAAGTGATATACTATATGTGGCTGCTAATTTTCTATTGATTTATGGCATCTGATGCTCCCTTAAAATTTTAATACAGAAAAAAAAATTTAATACAGTTTTTAAAAACACGTTAACGGATCATTTATTTTATATTCATAATAAATGGTGTCACCCAAGTGAAATCCCTAAAGAAGAAACAGCTAAAAGATCCAGGTTGTAAAAAGGGAGAAAACAGGAGTCTTTACTGTGTGAAGAGCCACGCTTTAGATTGAATGTTACGATCCAGATTACTGAGTGAGGGATCCGTATCCCAGAGGAGTAAGTCCATGGTTTTTGTCTTGTTTTGTTTTGCAGTGCTGGGGATCAAACTCAAGGCAATGCATATGTGAGGCAGATGTTCTACCATTGCCCCCAGCTCTGTTCATTGCCATATTTCAGCACAGGATACAGTCATATCTTGGTACTCTGTTGACTTGAAACTTGTCAGATTTGGAGATCATACGAGATCAGGCACATTCAGGGTGGTATATCCGTAGACTCAAATTTGGTACTGTAAACATTTTGACAAAAACTTTGTCCCAGCACTTTTATTATATTTTATTTAATTTTGTTTGGTACTCAGCATGCAAGCTGGAACTGTCCGTGGCCATCTGACTCACTACCCTTTCCAACCAAAAGCCTTTCTTTGGTACTCATGATCTTTGGTACTGGTCATGCCTCTCAGAACCATAGACAGGTCCCGAGGTACCTCTGTAGTTAATGTTTAATGTTCTGCACCAAAGTAGAACATTTTTTATGGAGAGCTATCCTTTTCTTTGCACATCTTATACCAAAAGCTTTTTATTTTTTCAAGCAAATGTAACATTACTAAATAGGCCTGCTTCCATATTGAATTTTGCTAATGTACTAAATTATCTCAAACTTCATATAAACCATTTTTATTAATAAAATCATTTATAAAATAATTTTTTTAAAGTTCTTTTAAAAAGAGAATAAACAAAAATTTGAGAGGCCGGGGATTTACCTCGGTGGTGCCATGGTTGCCTTGAAAGCACAAATCCTGAGTTTGATCCCCAGAACCACCGCCCCCCCCAAAAAGACTGGGGATGTAGCTCAGTGCAAAGGCCCAGTAAAATTCCCAGGACAGCCAACAAAAATTTGAAGAAAATGTTCAACATTTAAATAATTGTTCCTTGGTATTGTGCACTTTAAACTTATTTTGATTTTTTTTTTTTTAGACAGGGTCTCACCCTGTAGTCCTGGCTAACCTCAAACTTGCAATCCTCCTGCCTCAGCCTCTTGAGTGCTGGGATTATTACATACCTGGCTCTTATTTGGATCATAAACAGTCATTTTAAAACATTGTTATTATAGCCACATTTCTGTTGTCATTTTAATAAGGCTTGGTCAGGAAAATCTGGACTCTTCATTAGATAATCCTCGTGCACAGCTCTCCCTATGAGGAAATCCTGTCTTCTGAAAGGCCCAGTCTTGTGACTTCTGACTTGGGGCCCTCATTTGGAACCAGCGGGGAACACTTGAAGGGTTCAGGCTGTCATAGTCAGTAGGGCATTTCTGTCTTGGGTAGTGGCCCTTTCTCCCGGCTACACTCCTTAGAGCCATCCAAAGCTAATTTTAGGATTGCCCTGGGACTTACTTTTTAAGTCACACCACTCTGAACAAACCTCCCAAGTTTGGTGGAATCCAACCATTTTTAGTGGCTCCCTAATAGAAAAAGACAGAAACTTAATTTATGAATTGACTTTATTAACCTCTGAGAGGGCTCAAGGTAGAGATGCAGGGGTACTTCCCTTATGCTGGGAGCTCATCAGAGATGTTGAGAAAAATGGCAGGGTAGCCTTGTGGGGAGGAGTGTCCCTTTGGGAGAAAGTGGGCAAGGGCACAGACGCTGGCTGCTGGTAGCCAGTTGTACTTGTGTTGTGCTTTCTGTCTAGATGTGTCCCACCCTCCCCCTTCCTGTGTTCAGAGGCAGGGCTTGGGGATCGTGGTTGGATGATAAGTGGCTACAGCTAGCTTGGTGTTGGGAGGTGGGACTGATGGAAGAGGCGGGTCACTGGGGCATGGCCTGGAAGGGTTTAGCTCTCTACCTGCTCTGTTCCCCAGATAACCCACTGGGAGCTCTCCTCCACTGTGCCCCTCTGCCATCCCAACCTGCCTTGAAGTCAACTAACAATGGACTGAAATCTCTACAAACCCTGAGCCAAAACAGACCTCTCTTTCTTTAAGTTGTGGGTATTGGGTATTTGTCCCAGCATCAAGGATAGTAGCTAAGACAACTGGTCACCTTTCCATTGCTGACACCCACTACTTAAAGGTGGAAGGGTTTGTTTTGGCTCACAATTTCAGGTGCATTAGTCCGTGGTCAGTTGGTGCCAAGGCAGAAACATCATGGCAGAGGGTGTGGTGGAGGAAAGCTGCCTACATCATGCTGCCAGGAAGCAGAGTGAAAAGAAAGAACTCTAGAGGAAGAAGCCCACGACCAGATGTAGTGTTATCTTATTTGATCTGTCTGATAATAACCTTGCCCTTATTATGCCAAAGTGAGTATATTACAAAACTTGTTCATGTTGATTGCTAATGGCTCAGCCTGTCTCGTGGCTAGCTCAGCACTGGCCCTACCTAAGCCTGTTTGTCAGCCTATAAAATGGGGTTAATAAAGCCTGCCTTTCAGATCTGTGGGCTGATGAATTGTCTTCATGGTGGCGAAGGACCTTCACAATGCCCAGTAAGGGTTTAGTTTCTCTTCCCTTTCCTTCCTTCTCAGACCTTGTATGTCCTTTAATTTGCCTCTTCAATATTCTGCATTTTTCACAGGTCTGCTCCTTCCCATCTCTCCTTTTCTATTAGGAAAGATCTTTTCATGTGAAGAAGAAATTGGGGGACAGGAAGGTGTAGCTTGGGGGTAGAGCACTTGCTTAGTATTTGCGAGATCCTGGGCTGCCTTCCCAGCACCATCTAAATAAATATATAAATAGAGCTTGGGGTTCTGACACACAACTGTTTCCTGGGAGATTATATGTGCATAAGGAAGACAATCATCACTCTGAATCTCTCTTCAAACTTCCTTAGCCCATTTTGCCTCTCTTTCCTCTAGAAGACCCAGTCCCCTTCTCTTTGTTATTTCACCTTCAAACCTTTGTATATGGCTTCGTTGTTTTTGAATATTAATAAATTTGTCACATTTTTCCTGGTTGTCCATTGGACGTTCGTTCCCTAAACTGAAATCATCAAGCCTCAAAAGAGTACATTACAAATTTCTGTACACAACTTGCAGTAACCATGTGGTGTTAGCCATGCTTTGGGAGCTTAGGGAGGAACCCGTGTCCACACTTAGGATAGGCGTCCACCCTCCAATATCTGCCGTCCGCCTTTCAGGCTTGCAGCAGAATCCCCTCAGTCACGGTCAAAGAGTAAGTGCAGTCCGGGAAACATATGTAGGGCTTGCAAACCTTTGAGGATTCCCGAGATCGTTTGGGGGAGGCGAGTTGATCAGAGTGGTTCTTCTTCCGCGATACTGCATTTTGCACAGTGCTTTCTCAAAGCAAACAATCCTGTATTGCAATTTGCAATTATCTATGTCCGTGTCTGACTGACCACCAGGGTACGGGACTGGCGCTGGTATTCATTCGCCGGCTCAAACCCCAAAGGTGCTGGGAGGTAGCTTCGTGACCTTAGGCAAACTATTGTGTCATTTGATGTTCCCGGTTTATAAAAAGGACATATGCCTATAGCATTCGGTTTGGGGGCGAAATGGAGACTATTGAAAGGGCGCCTAAATCGGTAAACATGTGCTAATTAACCTGGCCTACTCCCATCGCGTACTCAACTACCGAACACCAACTGGGCTCAGGTCCCCGGGAGGCTTCCCTCACAGCTCAGCAACCGCACAAGTCGTCTCGTGGGCCTTGTCCCTCAGGCCTACTCAGGACTGGCCGAAAATAAATCCCCGCCCACATCCTTCCGAATCTCGTCTGCAGTTGGCTCCGGACCTCGCGCCGGCTTTATTGTTGCTAGGCTCGCGGGGAGGGTGCGGTGCTAGGCTGCGCGTGCGCAGCTTGGGGGATGAGGCCTTCCGGTCTTGCGGGAGGACGTGACGTCAGGAGCGGCGGCGGGCGGGCCGAGGCCACCTTCGCGCGGGGAGCGTGGAATACATGGGCCCTGGGATCGCGTCACCAGCCAGCGACTGAACCTTGGCGGTGTGGGCCGAGGCGGGGAAGGCGGCAGCGGCGGCGACAGCTCTGGGGTTTGCGTCTCGGGGTGTGTCGGCCGCCGCTGCTGCTTGGGCTTGGTATGTACAAATGGCTGGTTAGGATCCTCGGCACCATTCTACGTTTCTGCGACCGCTCGGCGCCCCCTGCCCGGGCCCTGCTGAAGAGGCGGCGCTCGAACAGGTGAGGGAGAAGGGGCCGAGCGGCCCGCGTCCCCTCCCCCACGGGCGCGGAGTCCCGGTGACGTCGCCGCGCGGCCGCGGACCCGGGAGAGGAGGGAGCGCGCGTCTCCGCGAGGCCGGCTGTGCGGTGCCCTTCGCGTTCCCGGCGGAGTCCCAGCTGGTTGCATGGTCCTATTTTACTGCTCTTGGGCTGAAAACGAGGGGGACGCTGCGCAGCAGCTCGGTGTTTTGCAGCGCACTCCCCAGGTGTCATCTGCGGACGGCGGAGCGCAGTTGAGGGAAGTGACATTCGGAGCTTTGCCCAGAGTCGCTCTGACTGCAAGCACTGTTCTCCTAGCATCGAGAAACAGCAGCTGTCTTGTTCCAAAACAGCTGTCAAACAGTGTGTGTGTTTGGGGCCGGAAGTGGGAGGGACCTGGTGGTGTGCTTTAGAATTAGTTAATGAAGAAAAAAATATTAGGTACCATCTTCCTTTAAAAAAAAAAATCACTAGTGTAAAAGAAATCACTAGTGTTAACTCTAAAATTCAGTTAAAATTAAGGGAGAACTACGAATTGCTCTTGCTTGGCGTCTGCTACCGCGGTTTTCTCATTTTATAGTATCCCCCCGCCTTTGCCTAAGATCTAGAAAATAAAAATGAGAACTAGAAAATAAAATGCCATACACATTCTGTACACCTCTTAATTTTGGGTGATCTCATTTCTTTTCTTTTGTTGTCTTTATTTTGTGCTGCTAGGCCAGCTGCCACCTTACCACTGAGCCACACCCCCAACCTAATTCTTTCCCCTTTTCTCTTCTTTCCTCTCTTCCCTTCCTTTCTCTCCCCTCTCCTTCCTCTTTCTTCCTCTTTCTTTATTTTTTGAGAGCAGGACTTACTAAGTTGCCCACGTTCAAGCACTCTTTCCATCTTGGCCTCCCAAGTAGCTGTGACTACAGGACCTGGCTGATTTCGTTTTATAAACCTTAGGGTCAAGGGAGATAGGCCAAAAGAAGACAAAATGACTAATACCTCAGTCTCGGGTGTAGATCACTGATGACTCTGACTGTTGACCAAATTGTAGTATGCATTCTGGAGACACTCGGTTGATTCTTCTGTCTTTCAGTAAGGATCATTTGAGAACATGTTATAAAGTCCTAAACTGATGCTTAATGTACATACATGATGGCCCTGTGCAGGGCCTGGTGCATGATAACCCCTTGGTACATGTTTATTGTTCATTCATTCTCTTTAACCCCCCCCCAACTCGAGACTGAACCCAGGGCCTTGGCATTGAGCTACATCCCAGCCTTTAAAAACATTTTCTTTTTTTCATTTTGACACAGGGTCGTGCTAAGTCATTAAATTGTCCAGGCTGGGCTTGAACTTTTGATCCTCATTCCTCAGCCTCCCAGAGTGCTGGGATCACAGACCTACGCAACCCGCCCTGTTCCTTATTCTCTTTTTGGTGTTAATTCTAGTCAGAGGAACGAGGCTTTGTCGATCAAGCTCCCGTTCTCTACTATAGGTGCTCCTATCCTACTTCTAAAATAGCTCTTATTGCTTGGGGCTGTAGCTCAGTGGCAGGGCTCTTGCCTTACAATGTATGAGGCCCCCAGTTAGAATGCAGCACTGCAATAAAATAAAATAACCTTTTATGTAAGCCAATTTTCAGTCAAAATTAAGCCAGGAAGTCTTGATGGAGTGTATAAATTTATAATCCAGCTGGGCATGATGGCACAAGCCTGTAATCCCAGCATGCAGGAAGCTGAGGCAAGAGGATTTTGGGTTTGATATCCACCTGAGCAGCATACCAAGCTCCAGGCTAGTCTGGGCAACACAGCAAGACCTTATCTCAAAAAACAAAAGCAGGTTAAAGTAACAGTCTCTCTTGTTATCTCATTCTATCCATTTTTTGTAAATATGATTAATCTTGGGGATTCAGAGGAGTGATTAAAGGCATACCCTTTGCCTTTAATCTTCTTTACACAGGGGTCTAAAAATTTTCCTGGATCCCAAATTCTTTATCAGTAAAATAGTCCCATGATTACAATGCAGTTAAAGATAACACCTTTTTCTAGCTAAGAATTGTCTTCATGCTGCTTACATTGTTACCTGAAGTGAAAGATGACTTTCTCTGGAGATCATCTTTCGGAAGGAAATTGTTTAGTTTTGTTATTTGAACTTTAACTAGGTTACAGATTATTATGTGGTAAGGATTTTGGGGTCTCTCTCAGATAGTTGAAACCCTAGTGTTAAATCCTCAGATACTAAAGGCTTACATAGAATAGCATTTATTCTCTGAAAACATCTCTTGGATCATGTTTTATAATGTAGTGAATAGAAAAGAGTTATGCTGGATGATGTGAATAGGGAGTTCTGTTTGTTTTGAGGCAGGAGATTGAACCCAGGACATTGTATATGCTAAGCACACATTCTACAACTGAGTTATGTAACAGCCTTGAATACTTAAGTTTATTTATAGAAATGGATGTATGTACATATTATAAACATGTGTACTTATTCTCCTCTCTTTTCAGCTCCGTGTTCTCCACAGTGGACACTGATGAAATACCAGCTAAAAGACCAAGATTAGGTACTAAATATAAATTTTTAAAATTAGTTTGTTAAAAGAAAAATATGTGTGGAATGAAATCAACAGGGAAAAAGTATATGGAGTGACAAGTCTCTTTCCTATCTCTTCCTCCTCCTTTATCATTCCCAGAGGTAATCACTGTTCCTGGGGATAAAGAAGGCTTTGTATTGAGTATGCATCTTAAAGTTCTAAATCCTGCTATAAAGAAAAGGTGCTTTTTTAATTTGAGGAGGAAACATTGTACAATCTGCTCCAAACTGAGTGATCAATTTCAGATGGCTGAGTGAACCAATCTTAATTTATGGTCATAGACCTTTTACTTACCTATAACTGAAGAGTTGGAAGTGAAAAAAACCAGATTAAAGGGAAAAGGCACAGTAGAATACTGTATTTCTCTTTCTTAGCAGTGACTAGGAATTTGTGTCTACTCCAGTTGTGATAGTTGAGGGTGGACCTATGTTAATATTTCATTTAAATCCAGTGAGTACTTACTGAGCATGTCTCGATGCTAAACGGTGTGTTAGGTTCTGTAAGAAATACAAAGTTGGGTAGAACAGGGTCTCAGTATGTAAGGGCCTTCTGTGATTGTATGGTAATGAGTATGAGATAAGCACAAATAATAAGGACACGCAGGAACTAAGAAAGGCATAGTAGCAATGTAATTTAAAACTGAGAATCTCAGTAACTTTTTTTTTTTTGAGACAGAGTCACAGTGTAGTTCAGGCTGTCCTTGAGCTCACTATGTAGCCCGGGCTGGCCTCAAACTCAGCAATCCTCCTGCCTCAGCTTCCCGAGTGCTGGGACTGCAGGCATGTGCCACAACGCCTGCCTGTTAAGATTTTTCTGAAAGGCAAACTGTAGAAGGGAATCTAATAAGCCAAGGAGAAAGTGGTGGATAACAAATAGAATACTTGTTAGTGAGTTTGTATAAGTCTATAATGGAGCTAACCAGTAGAATCTCCTGTGTTAATGGCCAACAAACATTTGAAATGTGGTTAATTTGAATTTTTTATTTTAATTAATTGAAATAAAATTAGTAGGTAACCACATATGGCTTCCAGCTACTCTGTTGGGCAGTACAGCTCTTAGTTGCTTTTGAGAGGGAAAAAATGCTAGAGTAAAAGGAAAAAAAGAGGATATCAGAGGAGCAGACTCATGATTTTACAGGTGAAAGGAATTTTAAGAGAGCAACTTAGTCTGGTCTCAGGTCATCCATTCTCATTGCACAGATGAGGCAGGCCTGCCTTCCTTCCCTTTTAAAAAAAATCAGCGAGATCTTTTGACATAATCTCAAGGCTCACCCAGTTTTAAACAAAATTTGCAGGGAAAGAAAATATTACACTACTTTTTGTGGTCAGTGTTTACCATGCCATCAGGAGCGCTTCTCACCCTCTGCGCTGCATGACGGCTGTGGGTTAGGCATCAGCACAGCAGAATAAAATGATATCCCTCAGCATTGCTACCGGGATAATTTGGAGTTCTTTCTAATTCCCAAAACAGAAAGCAGTTTATTTGCAGGCTTTGGTACTTTTAACTTTTATCAAGGAGAAAATTATTTCAAGCTGTATTCTGCTTTACCTGGCCTTTACATTGTCCCATTTGGTTAAGATATTCGCACATCTTTCTGAGAAGTATTTATTTTATGTGTTCTAGAGCTCTTACTGCTTAAAGCCATCATTTTGGGTAATTTTTCTGTGAAGCAATAACTAGTGCATTAGAACACCCTTAATTATGATATAGAAGAAAATTATAGAAAATGTGGATGTGTAGGAAGTGAGAAAAAGGTAGTATTGTAAGAGGAGGAAGTGGGAACATACTGAAATCTACCCTTCCTCCTTGTTTACTTACTTGTTTTGTAATCTCTGTTCTTGGTGGTAGGAAGAGGTGAATCTGAGATCTAGCATATCCAGTCCAGTAGAGAGGTAGCCTTTTTATCGTAGATGGCTAAGAGCTGTGTATATATTTTATACTCCACCTAGCAGGATATAAAAGGGCTTAGTAAATAGTTATTAAAGGCAACTCTATTCTTACCTGCCTGAGAAATAAGGACAAAGCAGTAAGGAGATGACAGAGCTTCCTTACTTCTGAAATACCCACTGTACGTGTTCCTTGTTTAATTATACCCTCTTCTCTGGTAAAAACGTGTTTTGTATATTCTGGGATACTCACTGCTTAAGAGCTGCCATCGCAGCTCTTCTGATTCATTGTGAATCAGTTTGTCATTTGCTAAGGTGATGGTCTCATGTTTTTGTAGCATCTCAGATATTTATTAAAAAAACAAAAATCACAGGATTGGAATTCTAGTTACTCAGTTTTATAAAAATATTTTGGTAGAGACTTTTTGATTTCAGTGTTTGAAATACATCTTTTAATAAAAATTAAGGGAGGTTCTTTCCAAGATATAATCTTTTTTTCCACTAGAAGTTGATTATTTATAGTTTATTGGCACTTTCTAGATTGCTTTCTTCACCGAGTGAAAAGCCATCTCTACAATGCTGCCAGCTTTTTTGGATTCCCATTCCAGCTGACCAGGAAGCCCATGGTGACTTCTGCTTGTAATGGGACACGGAATGTGGCCCCTTCAGGAGAGGTCAGTGAGGTGGGGCTCCACTGGGGAGACTGATCGTTTTTGTTTTATTTGGTGCTAGGAATTGAACTCGGGACCTTGTGCATACTCAGCAGGAGTTCTGTCACTGACTTACACCCCACCTCAAAGGCTGCTGATCTTTGTACTTTAAATGAGTAAAGTTAAAATTTAGAAATATTTTCTTTGGGGGAATGAATATATAAAATGAATTATTTCCAGAAATGTTCATGTCTTTATTACTGCTATAAAGGTCAAAAAATTAAAGGATAAAATTTAAGCATTTAAAAAGTATTTTTAAAGAATATTGGCCGGGCGTAGTGGTGCACGCCTATAATTCCAGCACTTGGGAGGCTGAAGCAGGAGGATCACTTTGAGTTTGAGGCCAGCCTGGGCTACATAGCAAGTTCAAAGATAGCCTGAACTGCCTAGCGAATCCTGTCTCAAAAAACAAAATCAAAGCAAAGCCAAAAAAAAGGATATTATCACTTCTGATTTTCTTAACTATACTTACAGATCCTGAAATTGTCTTTTTTTTACATCATTTTATGAGTCTTGGCAAATTAAACCTTTGAGCTTGACCAGGGATTTAGCTCAGTGGTTTCGCCACCTGCTCCACAAGCTCAAGGACCCAAGTTCAATCCCCAGTACCAAAAAAAAAAAAAAAAGAAAAGAAAACCTTTGAGCATGATGATATCACTTCTTTGAGCTAAAAAAGTAGTAGTGATCTAGTAGTGATCCTTTTAAATGATGAACTTATTTCAGTTGTAAAATTTGGATGCTACAGAGGTGATTCTGTTTGATTTTAAGGTATTTTCGAACTCTTCATCTTGTGAACTGACAGGTTCTGGATCCAGGAACAACATGCTGAAACTGGGTGAGGTGGTCAAAAATATTTTTGCTTCTTTGTATTTCCTTCTGTCCATTTTCCCAAGTTTTGAGAATATGAAAGGAAAACACTGAGTTAGATTGGGATGAAAATAAAGACATATTTTCTCTACCATGCTAAAAAGCAGATACAGGTTGAGTAAGTATCATTATCTGAAGTGCTTGGGACCAGAAGTGTTTCAGGTTTTGGAGTTTTTAGGTTTTGGAATATTTGCATGGACTTTACCGGTTAAGCATCCCTGACCCAAAAATCCAAAATCTGCGGTCAGAAATTTTTTGAGCATCAATAATTAGATTTTCAGATGAAGATCTCCACTTGGACCTTTCCTTTAGAATTATTGTCTATGAATTTACTGTTGTGTTTCCTGTTTGCTTCTTAGCATCCTTAATGTTACTTAGATCAAGCCTCAGTCATTTGAAAAAGTATTTCCCGAGAGCTTACTCTGTGCCAGGCACTGTGCTAAGTTATTATCAGTAATAACCAAATAATGAAAGGTGTCCTTGCCTTTGAGCAGTTCATCATCTGTTTGGTGAGCAATGTTAGGCTCCCACTTCCTGCCCTTGTATGGATTAAGGAGTTTTCCATATCATCATTAGATCCTGCAGTGAAATTACAATTGTTGTATAGATGATACAGAATGATATGTTGGGGAAAAGTAGAGAGAAGCCAGAGATCTGAGATAGTGGTGGTATCTGCTATATAGTGAGGCTTGTAAAGTTCTAGTGGAAGGCAAAGAAGGTAGGAGGAGAACTTAGCTGTGTATTAGCTTTCTCTTGCTAGGACAAAATACCTGACACCCACAATTTAAGGAGCAGAGGTTTATTTTTGGCTCACAGTTTCAGAGGGTACAGTCAGTCCATGGTCGGCTGGCTCTGAGACAGAAATGGCATGACAGAAGGGCCTGGTGGAGGAAAGCTGCCCAACTCATAGCGGCCAGGAAGCAGAGAGAGAAGAGCCAGAGCCAGAAATGTACCCTTCAAAGGCTTCCCCAGTGAACCACCTCCTCCATCTGGGCCCCACTGCATAACATAATGCTCCTGCACATTCACCGGGGAGCTCATCAGTGTATTACTCCACTGATGAGTACAGCACCCCTGTGATCCAGCCACTTTCCAGATGCTCATCTCTGAACACAGACTTTTAGTGAACATTTTACATCTAAACCATAACATGATATTAGAAAAGTTACGGGCTCAAAAGTCAAAAGTGTAAGAAGCTAAGAAAATGATGTATACCTTAGAGTTACGTTTCTCAAATTCTGTTGGTAGAGCATCTCTGGTGCAGAGAAGACCGAGGGAGAGTAAACACCTGTCTGAGGAGCTAGTTCTAAAGCGTTTGGAACAAAGATGATACTTGAATTCTTTTACAATAGACCCTTGACTTACGAACTCCACTCGTTTGAAAGGGCTGGTTGTAACTTAGGTTGGTCAGTGGAAGGCTCAGGCTCCTCTACACAGCCTTCAAAGTCTCTCTCCTGTATACAGGCAAATCTCAGTGTCCTTAGAGAGACACTGGCCCAGGATTTCTCAATTAACCCCACACAGGAAAGGATGCTGTAATGTTCCTTCCAGAACTCTAAGGGTTAAATCTGTTATCTGAGACCACCTGCAAGTACAAGAGGCCGGCATTTGGGTCATAACTCAAGACTTTGGTCATAATTTAGAACTAAAATTCCAGTTGTAACCCAAGCTGTTCATATGTCATGCCGGTTGTAACTTGAGGGCCCACTGTATTTCATTTTTGAAGGTTGATCCAAGTTGATACAAGTTGAATTTGATCTCTTCATATTGTTTGAATATTAATTTATTGTTGTTATTATCATTTGTTATGGTGCTAGGGATCAGACCCAGGGTCTAATGCATGCCAGGCACAGGCTCTACCACTGAGCTACAACCCAGCCCATGTTAGTGCTTCTCATTAATGTTTTACCTCATGTATGTCAGATTCCTGTTCTGTCTATTCGTAGAATTTTTAAAAACAAGATATAAACTGGTCACAGTTGTTTTGACCTAATGCAAGCTGTTCACAAAGATTTTTTTCTTTCTTTCTTTTACAATTGCAAATGCATTCTTAAGGTAATAAATCTCCTAATGGAATAAGTGACTATCCAAAGATCAGAGTGATGGTAACGCGAGATCAGCCACGGAGAGTCCTGCCTTCCTTTGGGTAAGTGTCAGATTCTGCCTTTCTGTAAGCAGACCATCAGCACTTCTCAAGTGCTTACTCCTGTCACACATTCTCACTTTTGTCCTACTATGGACTCTGAGGTTTGGGACTCGCCCAATGTCACACAGCTAGTTAGAGACTTGAGTTTTTTCTTTTTTTTTTTCCTGAGACGGGCTCACTACGTAGCCCAGGCTGGCCTGGAACTCTCAGCAATCCTCCTGCCTCAGGCTCCTGTGTGCTAGGACTACAGGCGTGCACCACTGTGCCTGGCAGTTGAACTTTTTCTGCTGTGTAATATGCCCATTGCCTGATGTGATTTGAGGACCTTTAAAAAGAATTGCTACTTTTTAAAGTTTTTAAAAGAATATAACATGTATACAGAAAAGTATAGAAATCATAAGTGTAATGTGATACATTTTTATATACTGATCATCATACCCATCAGTTCTTTTTTTTTTTCAGTACTAGGGATTGAGCTCTGGGTCTTAATATTGAGCTATAACCTCAGACATTTTTCTTTTTTGAGAGACAGAGTCTCATTGAGTCACTAAGTTGCCCTGGCTGGGCTTGGGATCCTTCTACCTCAGCCTCTCAGAGTGGTGGGATTACAGGAATACACCACCTCGCTTGGCTTGTTATTTTACTACTAATTTTTTTCCCTCCTCTTTCTGTATTCACACTTCTAGTATCCTGTTGTTTAGATGTTAGACTTTTTGAATTGATCTAATTTTCCTGTGTATTTTTGTTCACTAGTACATATTGAACATAATAGCAAGTTTTATTTTGGTAATTTGTACGAGGATGTAACATGCTTTGATCATTTCTACCTCCTCTCACCCCTTTTGGCCTTTCATTCCCTTTCTCCTGTTTGCTTCCTCTTCCCTAATAGTCTCCCTCCTCCTTTTATTCATCTGTCACTGTTCTTTGATGTTTTGAGACAGGGTCTTGCGAATGGAGTCCAGGCTGGCCTTGAGCTCTTGATCCTGCCAAGTGCTGGGATTGCAGTGGACCTGTGCCATCACAGCCAGCTTTCTCTGTTTCTGTCAGTTTTGTTTACATTTTTGTCTTTTTTTTTTTTTTGTAGGTTTCACATATGAGAGAAAATGTGTAATTTTTGTCTGACTTATTTCCCTTAACATCTCAGTCTCTGGTTCCATCCATTTTCCTGCAGATGACGTGATTTCACCTGTGACTAATGATACTCCATTGTGTACACCACATTTTCTGTATCCATCATCTGTGGATGGGAACCCAGGCTGACTCCATAGCTTAGCTCTTGTGAGTTGGGCTGCAGTAAATACGGGTATGCAAGTATCTCGGTACCATGCAGACTTGAATTCTCTCGGAAATATACCTAGGAGTGGTAGAGCTGGGTCAAATCACAGGTCTATTTCTAGTTTTTTGAGGATCCTCCATATTGATTTCCATAGTGACTGTACTGATTGACATTACCACCAATAGTGTATAAGGGTTTCTTTTTCCCTACATCCTTGCCAACATACATTCATTCATTTATTCATTCATTTCCAGCACTGGGGATAGAGGGATAGAACCCAGCAATGTTCTACCACTGAGCCACATTCCTAGCCCTTGTTGTTTTTTTTATTTAGAGACAGGGTCTCACTAACTGCCCAGGGTAGCCTTTAAATTGAGGTTCTCCTGCCTCAGTCTCCTGAGTAGTTAGGATTACAGGTGTGTACCACTGTGCCTGGCTGACCTGTGATTAGTTAGAAGGCTTGGAGTATATTGTTTAATTTCTAACTATTTGGAACATTCCAGATATCTCTTACTGATTACTAATTTAATTCTTTTATGGTCAGAGAATACTTTGTGTGATTTTAATTCTTTTAAGTTCGTTAACATTTTTTTTTGGACCTAGAATACGGCCTCTTTGGATGATTTTCTATGCATCCTTAAAAAGAGCATATATTTTGCTATCAGATCGGGTATTCTGTAAATGTCCAGTCAAGTTAGCTTACATGTTTACAGGTTTTACTCATTTTCTCTCTGCTTTTTTATTGATTGATGAGCAAAGAGTAAGTATTGACATTTTCTACATAATTTGGTTTAATCTGTTTTTCCTATTTGTCACTTTTTTACCCTGTTTTTTGGTTTGTTTTTGGTTTGGTTTGGTGATACGGGGGTTGACCCAGGAGCCTTTACACTGAGCTACATCCCCAACCCGCTTTTTAATTTTTATTTATAAGACAGGGTCTTTCTAAGCCAGATTTGCCCAGCCTGGCCTTGCATTTGCAGTCTTCCTCCCTTGGCCTCCCACAGTGCTTGGGTTAATAGGCATGTACCGTCATGCCCAGCTGTTTTCTCTTCATGTATTTCGAAGTTCTGTTAGATAGATAATCTTGATCCAATTTCATTTGGTGTTTTGGAGACAGGGTTTTGCTGTGTAGTTCAGGCTGGACTTGCACCCACTGTGTAACCCAGGTTGGCCTCAAACTTGTGGTGATCCTTCTTCCTCAGCCTCCTGAGTGCTGGGATTACAGGGTGCACCACCATACCTGGCCCTTGACCTAGTTTTACTAGTTGTTACTTTGCTGTAATTATTTTAGTCATTCTCTGTCATGTATACATAATTTTTTTCTGAATAATTTGAGAGTATGTCTTTGACTCTTATACCTTTAATTCTAAATATTTGAGCCTATTTCTTAAGAACTAATTTACTTCCAGGCATGGTGGCACATATCTGTAATCCCAGTTTCTTGGGAAGGTGATGGAGGAGGGTCGTAAATTTCATCCCAGCTGGGTGACTTGCAAAGACCCTGTCTCAGAATTGAAAAATGTTGACAAAAGGCTGGGGATGTCATTCAAGGAGACCATTTGCCTCGAAAGCCCAAAGCCCTGGGCTCAATCCCCACCCACCCCACCCTTAACAGAAAATAAAATAATTGATTTACACAATCATGGATTGGAAAAATCAGAAAGTCAGTATAGCATTCTTATGTAATCTACACATCTCATTTAAATTTTTCCATTGTAGCCTTTCTTCCCACTGTGGACCAGGTTCTGGTACAAGTTACACACTGCATTTAGTTTTCCCATCTCGTTGATCTTTAATCTGAAACACCTCCTTGGTCTTTGTCATTGATGACACTAATACTGTAATTTTGTCTGATGTTTACTCAGGACCTGCCTCATATTTTTCAGTATTTTTGTAGAGAGAAGTGCCACCTGATGGCGTGTGCCCTTTTCAGAGTGTCACGTGAGTCAGGGAGGGAGATATGTTTGTTCTGTTGTTGGTTGCGGCAGGAGAGGTGGAGAGACAAACTCTGTCATCAGTTTCAGTGCCTTGGCACTAGGGAGTGGGGAAGTTCCATTCCTTTGGTTCTTTAGCATTTATTAATTTTACCTTTTTTTTAATATCAAGGACAATGTATCAGTTTAGGACTGGTCAGTCTTTACACCTAATACTAATCCTCTTTTTTTTTTTTTTTGAGACAAAGTCTCACTACGTAGTTCAGGCTGACCTCGAACTTGCAGCAGTCCTCCTGCCTCAGCCTCCTGAGTGCTGAGATTACAAGTGTGCAGCATCACATTTTTTTTTTGAAGCAGTGCTGGGAATTGATCCCAGGGCTTCAGGCATGCTAAGCCCACAGTTCTACCACTGAACTAGCCCCCCCTTGCATTTCTTTTTCTCTTTAGACAGGGTCTCACTATGTTGCACAGGTTGCCCTTGAACTCTTTGACTCAAGATCCCTCCTGCCGCAGCCTCCCGAGTAGCTAAGATTCAGGCACACACCACTGTGCCCAGTATAGCATTTATTAATTTAGCATTCAGTGGTGGCTCATGATGTAGATCTGGTACCAAGATAGAGTGATGAAAGATGTAACCTCTCTTTTCATAGATTAAAGTTCAATGTGGGATATAGACATAAATAATCTCACCAGTAATTAATTCCTGTGTTGCCCAGTGACTAAAGGAATAGTCCTGGAGGGTGATGGCAATAAGCAGGTGAACCCGGGGCTGATGTTGGAAAGTGGCCGCGAGGGAGAGGGCTTTGGTGTGGCTGCACATGGCCGTGCTGCAGTGGGACGCTGGGGAGATCCCACTTTGACGGATGCCCCTGTGGGACACAGCAGGTGTGGTCACAGCAGTCTCAGAGTGACTAGGAGCGTGAGGGTCGGTACTTGAAGCGCTTTGACGGTACGTTCTTTTTCTTCTTTTCTCAGTTTTTCTTTGAACTCAGAAGGCTATAATAGAAGACCAAGTGGCCGTCGCCATAGCAAAGGCACTGCAGAGAGTTCCTCCCTGTGGAGACCTCAGGAGCAGGCTGTCACCGAGATGGTTTCTGAAGAGGGTGGCAAGGGGCTGAGGCGTCCCCACTGTACTGTGGAGGAAGTAAGTCTTTTTAGGTTGATTTCTTTAAAAAAATCTCCACATGGCACTTTGGGGAATGAATACTATGTGACTATGGTACAAGATTCCGAAGGTACAGAGGGTGTGCTGTGGCTGAGTTTCCAGTGTCCCTTCCACACCTGGCCTCTGCTACCCTGTTTGCCTCAGCACGTGGCCCTGTTCACTACACATGCGCTCCTGGAGAGTGTGCACACATACGTCCTCAGTAGTGATTTTCACTATAAAGAAGGAGGAAGAACCCTATTAGGAAGAAATGAGATTCGGGGTTGCTTTTGGGTACCTAAATTATTCTGAATTGTTTCTTTTATAAACGTTAGTAACAGTGACTCAGTAGGGGACGTAGATGGTGTGTGTCTTTGCTTTTTCCTTCCCCTTTCAGAGCACTTACCATGATGAAGAGACAACCTTCACTTCTCTCTTGAAGACTTCAGTTATTCCAGGAAAATTTAGAATTATTTTGAATCTGATATTCCACAGGGCCATCAGCTATTTTAATTTGCTAGATGGTTGTCTGAGACACTTGTGTAGTTATCACAGAATTATGTATTTGGGTTCCAGGTTCTGTGCTAGTTGCCCACAATTCAAACTTGAATAAAATGTGTTGCCTGCCCTCTGGGAGTTTTGACATAAATAATTATAATTCAGAAAAAAGGGAGAGAGAGAGAGAGGAAAGGCCCAGAGCCCTGGAAGAGATTTATAAGAGGAGCCATTAAAGATAAAGATGTCAGGGGGTTAGGTGAGGAATCAGAAGGGAGTGAGCATGTGTCCATGGGCTATGCACAGAGCACACATTCTAGGGAGGATTTGACTAATTGTGATGTAATAGAGGAAAGAGCCCGAGTCCCATTTCAGGATCGGATAAATACACGTCACTGACCAAGATCCCCTGCCCTATGTGTCTAGGGGGAAGATGATGACTTCAGTTTTGGACATTGTTTAAAGTACCTGTGAGACACGCAAGAAGACTTCTCCTGTAGACTCTTGGACATAGGTGATGGGAGATTTGAGAAGAAGGCAGGATTAGAGACACATTTCGGAAGTTTTTATATATTGATGTTTAAATGAAGGGAGCTAATGAGATTTTTCAGGGAAAGAATGTAGCGTGAAAAGAGATTTGGGAAAACATCAGAATTTATGGTAAACAGAAGGAATAATCTGCAGTGAAGACTGAGAAGAAAATAGAAGTTTGTTGTCCAGGAAGGCAAGGCAAGGTCAGCTGGGAGAGGTGCTGAAGGGAGGTCACATGCTCTAAAGGCTAGGAAAGTGCCCTCGGATTTGGCCATTGAAGGTCACTGCTGATTTTGGAAACTGAAATTGTGATTATGCAAGTGGAGTATTTCTGTTCTTTTCTTGTGTGCTTTATCCACTTTTCTCCATCCCAGTTGTGTCAGAAACTCAGGCGCCATGCGGATCTAGCAGAGTAAGATAAGTGAAGAGGGGTGGAGAGAGAGCACATGACCACCACACAGCTCCACACTGGTCGTCACTTTTTCAAAAGAGGCCAGAATTTGGGTTTCAGTTTTTGTTTTGTAATTTGTAAAATCGGAAGTTAATTCAAGAAAAACTAAAAACACCATGCTGGCACTTGAAACCCATCTGTAGATTGCATTTGACCTGTTGATCTCTGATTGTGGTTTAATTTTAGGCTTAATGTGCTAGTATTTACCCAACATGCTTTCGTTTACTCAGGGTGTTCAAAAAGAAGAACGAGAGAGGTATCAGAGGTTATTAGAGCGACTTAAAGAAGGTGGTCACGGAAGCTCTGTCCCTCCTGTAACTTCACACCATCACAGGTAAAAATGAGCTCATAAGAGAAGTGCTTTTTCAGTATCTTTTTCTTTATCCTTGGAGAGGGGTTATTAAGAAGGGCTTATTGAAGAAAAGGCTATCACTGAGCAAAGGTGGTGGTGCACACCTGCAATCTCAGCACCTGGGAGACTGGGGGGAATACTGCAAGTTTGAGCCCAGCCTGGGCAGTTTGGTGACGTAGAGTAAAAAAAGAAGAGGGCTGGGAATGTAGTTCAGTGCAGTGGCCTTGGGTTCAGTCTGCAGCACCACAAACAAGAAAAAAAACAAGGCAAACACAGAGAGGCAGCCCGCAGACTGCCTGGATAGTGCATCTAGTACTGTACTACTTAGAGCCAGGGGCTGACAGAGCAGTGCTTCTCTCTTTTGAGAGGATAGCACTCAGTTATCGAGGGTGGCCTTGAACTCACAACTCTCACCTCAGCCTCCTGCGTAGCTGGGGTTACTGGCATGTGCCACTGTGCCTGGCTCCAAAACAGGCTTTTCTTTTCTGTCCAAGTGAACTCTTAATGAAGTTCTGATCTGGAAAAGTGGATCACTAGTTGGAGCAGGGCTCCTAGGGTGCAAAGTTTTCTAGCCCTCCAACACACACTTTCCACCCATGATCCCTGTCTCTCATTCTCTTTCTTCCGTTTCTTCTCTCCTGCCTATCTCCATTCTTTCCTCTCCCTTTCTTTCCTTCTTTCTTTCTCTCCTTCGCCTCCCTACAGTCTCTGGTTTTTTTCTTTCCTTGTGCTCAACCCCCATCCCAAGATAGACACACAGAGTCCTTTAAAGACGTTAGTGAATGCCTCTCAGCACTCTTGGAAACCCTCTCTTAGAGACAGAGTCCTGTTGCTTGTTAATTAACTGATGATGTGTGCAACTAGATGAGAGCGGTAGGTGGGCCTTGTCTTTGCCTGTGGAAAGGGTGCAAGTGTGTGAGCTCAGGATTCGGGTGCACTTGGTAGTTCTAACAAGCGATGTGCAATACACAGAGACCCCACCAGTTATGTAATAGCAAGGTGAAGGTGAGGAGTCACAAGACTCTGTAGCTTATTGAATACAGAAAAAACAAATTTTTGGGCATTTTAATTTTGGTTGTGTGTGCTAATGAACTAGAGTTTGTCATATTGTCAAAAATCTTCAAATTATCTTGCTTTTAATATTCCTGCTTTTAGTGCATTATTATAGAATCCATTTAAGCTTAATAGTTTTAAATTGTATTTTATTTATGTATTTATTTATTTATTTAGGGTGCTGGAGATGAAACCCAGGCCATGCACATTCTATGCCATGTGCCCCAACCCTTTTTATCTTTGAATTTGAGTTTTATCACACTGAAATTTTTTAATCAGGGTGGCACTGGGAATAGAGAACTTCCACTTTTAGAATACACTGGAGGTTAGGTAACTGGACTAAATAGTGGAATCCGAGTTAGACTCTGTGTTGCTTCCTTTCCTCTCTGTTAAGGTTCAATGTTACAGAGCTTGTCAGACATAGATCATGAACATTCATGGTAGACTTTCCTTTTGTATTTGACTTTCTCATTTTTTGTGTTCCTAAGTTCTCAAAGAAGTCATGTGGACACTTTAAAGACCAAAGGCTGGGGGGAAGAGCAGAATCACGGAGTCAGAGCAACTCAGTTTGTTCCGAAACAGTGTGAGTCCCAGACCTAGCCCTCTCTTAACTTCTGACCCTGGTCCATGTTAGAACACACCTCTGCCAGGCTGAAATCAGTGCTTGAGAAATACAGTGAGTAGAGGCCGGGGGGTTTAGCTCAGCGGTTCCACCACCTGCTGCACAAGCACAACCACCCGAGTTTGATCCCCGATACCAAAAAAAAAAAGAAACCTAAATGTGCCTCTTGGTAATTATTCCTAGGCAACTACTGTATGTAATAATGTGTTTTGTGCACCTGAAATGCATTTATGTTCCTTAGGTTGTCTTTCTTGTATTTCTCCACTAACTGCCCACTGAATGACACTAAATGGTCGCTTACCAAATAAGCTGATACTAGTTTATGCTAAAGATGATATTTAACGTACAAAGAGATTTATGCATTTTAAGGTTTGTAAGGAGGTTCGTATCTTTGGAATTCCCATCAGCATTTTGGTGTAAAATAAATGTCGTACTTTGAAAACTGTAAGTTGAGATTGATTAGTGAACAGTTTTTTCTTTGCCATCCTCACAGATAGAGCCTTTGAAACAAGGGGACCTCTCTGTCCAGTGAGAAGTGAAAAAAGGTACGTGGTTCGGTTCGTCCTTAAGTTTTCATTGTATTTTCTCGCTCTTTATGGTATATTTGTGAATAACTGGGTCCGAGGAGCTGGGAGCTCTCTTCAGCCCTGGTGCTGCTCAGCATACACGAGTGCACGGTAGTTCCTGACTCGGGGTCCAGCCCTTGTTTGGGCAGCTCACGCTCATCTCCTGAGGTCAGGGCTCCGAGAAGTGCGTGGGTGTTTCTCGGGGCAAGGGGCCGCTCCGAGGACCACTGTGTCGGAGTCAGGATCAGCACAGGAGCTCTGCATGCCTTAGGGCTGTCAGCTATGGCCCAGAGGCCAAATCCGGTCTGCCTGTTTATTGGAATGCTGTTGTGCTCATTGATTTACATACTGTGTCTGTGGCCACCTTTAATGTTCAGGACCGGCCCAGATTCATATGTCTCACTGCTGGGCAGCTCTGACTTAATTTTTTTACTAGTACAAAGACTGATGAACTTTTAGCTCCATTTGCACCTGCAGTGGCACAAGCCATCCAGTGGGACAGTTGAGCATGGACCACTGGTGCTGCAAGCTGGAGGGACCATGCTAGACTGCAGCGGTGGGGCAGAGAAGTTCTGACTGCGGCTGAAGTTTTACTGTCTTCTCCGCTTCAGAAAGATGTGCTGACCACTGGTTTTGAGAATTATATAAACTCACGGCTTTTTTTGTTTAGAAATTAATCTTATTTCTAAAACTAGTCAAATAGATATCAGATGAAAATCGTCCAGCAGAAGTCTCTTCTCAATATTTTTCCTCAGGTGTTCAAAGGGGAAAATTTCTGATACAGAGAAGATGATTGGAATCAGACTTGAAAATGAAGGTGTAAGTAGAAACTAGTTAAAATTTACACCTACTCTCTCACCAGATACATTTTGGTGTGCATGAAAAATAAGAAAACATGATATACGTTACTTTGATTTCTAATTCCGTTTTCTTTGCAAAAGCAGCAAGCTTAAAAGATGCACACATTTTGTTTTCCTTCTATGTAGCTGAATTTCCCGTCCCCAGTAGCCCTGCCATGTATGGAAGACCGCTGTGATGCTGTAACAGCATTCATATCTGTTGCGTGACTTCCTTTGGAAAATTGTTTAAAAATCATCTCTAGGAAAGATATGATATGTTCAGGACTTTGTTTTCAGAGTTTCATATATTAGGTTTCATGCTTACTTGAAAACACTAGCAATCTAATGCTTTATTGGATTTTACATTAAGTAGTGAAACAAGTGTCCAGTGATCTCCATATCAGCACTAACAGTTTTAATAATGGCAAAGTGTTTGGGCAAACATTCAGTATCTGGAATTGAAGTACAGTCCTACCTTAAATGCAACTTAAAAGTTATAGATTATTCACATTTTAGGTACATAGAACTGCAGAAGTATAGGGGTCTGCTTTAAGTTTGGTTAAATTTGTGTTTTCTGATTGTACTTCTTAAGAGTTAGTCTTCAATCCAGTATGTTGGTGCACACTTGTCATCCCAGCTGTTTGGAAGGCTAAGGCAGGAGGATTAAAAGTTCAAGGCCAGCCTGGGCACTTAGCAAGACCCTGTCTTAAAATAAAAATGGGCTGGAGATGTAGCTCAGTGTTAGAGTGCTTGCCCAGCATGCTCAAGGCCCCAGTTCAGTCTTCAGTACTGGAAGAACAAAAAAAAGAACCTTCCAAAGGCTGAGTCAAGTCTTGAGTCATAAGTTTTAGAGCTCTTCTCTAATGGTCCCCATTTCCATTGATTCAGAGTGGATTCACTTATTATTAATTATTTTATCACATGTATAGCACAAGCTAAAATGATGGACCTGTAGTCCCAGCAACTTAGGAAGCTGAGATGGGAGAATCACTTGAGCTCAGAAGTTAGAGACCAGCTTCTTTTAAAAAATAAATAAAAATAAACTAAAAGGAGAGAACTAAAGCTGAGAGAGGACAGACAGCATGGGAACATTTTAAAACCCGACTCAGGGACTCGTCCTACTCAGTGTTTACTGAACCTAAAGAGGGCACCTGGCGCTGGCTGGGACAAGAGTGTGGTGTGCTGTCTTCAAACTACTGTGATTAGCCAGGAATGTAGCTCAGTGGTGCTGCCGCCTGCCTCACAAGCGCAAGGTCCCAAGTGTGATCCCCGGTCCCAAAAAAACTACTGTGATTCAAGTCCACGACTCTTATTTCTAAACACATTTCTCAATTTTATTTTTTAAATCTTTATTTGTCAGTGCTGGGCTTAAACCTAGGGTCTCGTGCATGCTAGGCAAGCACTGCACCAGAGCTACACCCCAGCCCTGAATTTCCTAATTCCAACATGGCTTTCCTGGTAGATGACATATTAATAGTTACGGAGGCTCTGGTAGGGCAGGGGCTTAGCAGAGTTTCTGGGGTGTGCGGAATTTTCATTGAACTGAGTAGCAATCACATAGGTGCTCATTTTCCAAAAAGTGAGGGGTGTACGAATGTTGTTGTTATTGTTTTTTTTAGACAGTTTTGCAGTGTAGCCCAGGCTGGCCTCAAACTCACAGTGATCCTCCTGCCTTAGCCTTCCAAGGGCTGGGATTACAGCGGTGCACCACCATGCCCGGCCTACTATGTTAATGTTTTGGGAGCCCCCGCCCCTATGTTTCCCCATTTATTATAAAGGATATTAGGAAGAATGTAAATGAACAGCCAGATGGAAGGGAGATGCAGAGGCCAGGATGGGAGACATGGCAGAAAGCGTCCTGTCCTCTAAGGGCAGCCACCCCTGGGTGATTCCACTTGTTGAGCAACCTGAAAGCTCCCCAAACCCAACCTGTGGGCTTTTGTGGAGGCCTTGTTATGTAGGCATGATTAAATTAAAAAGATGAAATAGACTGCATTTATGTAGTGTGAGGGTAGCAGTAGTTTAACCTCAGTGATGGGGTTTATAGGTCATAGTTTTTGCTGTTCTAAACATTTCAAAATGTCTTTTAACCACATTAATTTTAAATGGGATAGAAGAACTGAAAATAACTTTTCTTACCACTTCCAGAGAAAGTGGTGAGTGTTCTGTTTCAGTTTTTGTTTTTTGAGACAGTCTTGCTATGTAGTTCAAGGTGGCCATGAACTCACTGTATAGCTCAGTCTGGCTTCAAATTTGCTGTGATCTTGCCTCGGCCTCCTGAGTTTGGGATTACAGGGGTGTGTTTCCACACCCGGCCTTTTTAGTGGTTTGTAATTGAGGTACCCTGTGAGGCCTTACTTACAGGTTTTTTTATTCTTCCTTGCTAGGCCAAGCAGATATGATAAATCTACTTGTTTGGAAGATTTGCTAATTGTCTTTTCTTTCAAGATTATGATACTGTCTTACAGCTCATGTGTAGTGTATGTAATATGTGCAAGTATCAAACATGGCAATAGAATATAGAAACTTTTTGCTCAGAGGAGGGGACACCAGCTGGAGCCCGATCTATCGGAAGAAGTGTCAGCCCGACTCCGCCTGGGCAGCGGAAGCAATGGCTTTCTCAGAAGGAAAATGTCAATACTTGAGGCAAAGGAAAAGAATTTCTCGGGCAAAGAGAGGGACAGAAGAGCAGATGACCTCCTTGAACTGACAGAGGTATGGTTCCTTGTATTGGTCGGAATAAAAGACATAGTTAAATAACTTCAGTTACTCCAAGTTTGTCCAGATGAGGCATGAATGTGTGAAAATAAAGCTGAGGCTCCAGGTCTGCTCACTTTGGCTGTCTTGGTCATCAGTGATCTATGAAGGTCCCTAACAGAGGAGTATAATGGATTCTTCGTAGGCTCCTTTTCTGCATTCAAACATATTGAGTTATGTAGTATGGTATTGAGAATGAGTGCATTGCACGTTTTTTTTAAATGAATGAGTAGTCTTCTAAAACATCACTTTCATTGATTATTGTATTTGAAAGTAATAAGGGTTATAGAAAACAAGGAAATGAAAGTAGCTAAAATTCTCATTTTAAAGGTGATCGTACACCTTGTCCCTCCTCCACTGTTGACTTGGTATGTGGTGTTCTATTTGTTGTGTCTGTTTTGAACACTTCCTGTATGTTGGGCACAGAGGTGGAGAGAAATAGATTAGCAATTGTGTGCAATGGAGAGAAGAATTATAAAAATATTAGGATGAGATTCATTTTGATTGGGTTTACAGATTCAGTTTTGTAGGTTAGATATGCATTTATCTGCATACTTCTTTAGAATAAAGAAGCCAGATGCTCAACAGAGAGGTCGCCGTTAGTAGGATTGCTTTGTTAAGTTGGGACATTTTTATGTAATTTGATAGGTCTCGGAAAGTATATTTTTCTCCAAGTCAAAATACTGTTGACGTGAAAGGCTTTCTTCTTTTTGGTCCTGGGGAATGAACTCGGATCCTTCTGCTTTCGAGGCAGGCAGCAGAACCACTGAGCTAAATCCCCGGCCCCCTAGGCTTTCTTCTGTCTCAGACACACTGACAGTGGTTCTGTGTTAAAGTAGAGACCTCTGGACTTTCTCATTCAGGACATGGAAAGGGAAATCAGTTACGCCCTGGGCCACGGCCCACAGGATGAGATCCTGAGCAGTGCTTTCAAGTTGCGGATTACTCGAGGAGATATCCAGACCTTAAAGAACTACCACTGGCTGAACGACGAGGTCAGTTGTCTTTTTTCCTGTGACTATCATTAGGTTTAACTATTTACCATCTCCAAAGTGATTTATCACATTCGCATCTCGCTGCCAGGCGACTCTGAACCACGAGTAGAACAGTCATGCTTGTACTGCTGGTGGTTCAAGCCAGCAGAAGGCGTTATACCCAATTATAAGAGGTTGGTAAGATAACTTAATTTTTTTAAAAAACAAAAGCTTCCTGAAACTTGACAAGGTACTGTTTGCTACACCATTTCTGTCTTTTGGCTCTATGTTTATCCATCATTTTATTTATGAGTCTTCAATGACATTTTCAGAAACCCTGGGTATAAATGGAAGGTATTTTATTTGAATGATGTCTTAGTCCATTCCGGCTGCTAGAATCAAATACCACAGCCAAGGCAGGTGATTTATGAACAGTAGAAATTTATCGTTCCCTGTCCTGGGAGCTGGAAAGTCCGAGACAAGGGCACCAGCAGATTCTTCTGCTGAGAGGGCACCGAGTCCTCACAGGAGGCAGAGGGCAGCTGGGACCATGGCTTGGCCCTTGCAGCCTCCTTAGGGCACTGACCCATCCAGAGAGAGGAGCCCTGGAGGCCTGGTCACTTCTCCCCAGCAGGGGACTTGGGGGGACACGCATCCAAACCGCAGTAAGCAGTAGCTGTGGAAGGCTGCCGACTGTGTTACTTCGTCCCGTACATATTTAGCTGAAGCTTGTTCTTCATTCTTCTCCACAGTTTTCTGCTTGGTTCTTGCCCAGCTGCTCGCCCTCTGCATTTTCTTCCTTTGCCTTTCCTGCCCCTCCTTCAGCGCCATCACCTAAAAGCATCTTGTTTTAAAAGTAGGATATTTTGTTTCACCTTGTAAACATAACATATTTATTACAGGAAATTTGGAAAATGCAGAAAAGGTAAATTATTGTTTAAAAGTGCTGTAAATATTTGGTGTGTCTCCTTCCAGTTAATATTTTTAAATGGAGGTGTAATTTCTACGTGGTGAGATTCACTTGTAGTTAATCTTCCTGCATATCTTTTGTGTGATACGGTTGCATGAACCATTTCATTATTACAGACTTCTTGTCACTTGGAAGTTTTATTCCTGTTTTTCCTTTTTTCTGGTGATGGTGCTGGCAATTCAACCCAGGGCCCACCCCCTGCCAGCTATACCCTAGCCCGGCATTCTTTCTTAACTCTCGCCCATTTTGCACTGATCCATTTTTTCTGTCTTCTTCCATATTGGGTCCTTTTATTCCCATTTTAAGTTCCTTCTCATCCCTACACATCTCACTTTCTACTTCATACTAACTCAAGTTGAAATTTAATTCTGATGATCTATTCGGCATGTTCCAACTTTTACTCTCAATATTTTACAGGTCATTAATTTTTACATGAATCTTCTAGTGGAAAGAAATAAAAAACAAGGCTACCCAGCCCTTCATGCATTCAGTACTTTCTTCTATCCTAAATTAAAGTCTGGGGGTTACCAAGCCGTAAAAAGATGGACCAAAGGAGTGAATCTCTTTGAACAAGAGCTTATCCTGGTGCCTATCCATCGGAAGGTGCACTGGGGCCTTGTGGTGAGTGGAGGGTTGATGCTGGAGGGACACAGACTGAGGCAAGGCCTGCTCTGGTCTGTCCGGTGCAAGGCCCGGCCTTAGACAACAGCGCGCTCTGCAGAGCATTCTCAGCACTTGAGGCTGCAGGATTTCAGAAGCTAGAAGACCTGGCCTCTGCTTTCGTTTATAACAGAAGAATTTTTTTTCTATTTTATTTAGTTTGTTCATAAGGCTTATTATAGAAAAATGAAGGTAAAAAGAGAAAGCTGAAATCTCCCACCACACTGAGAGGACCACTAATGTTTTGGTGAAAAAGTTTCTAGACATCATCTAGGAATAGAAATATATTAAACTCACCATCTGTGACTTTTTGTAACTTTTTCTCACACCTAAAAATGTGTCTGAATCCATTTATATTGGGTTCTTTAAAACGTGCTTTTCTTTTTGGAAGTAAAATTGTTACTCCTGTTAATGCTTAAGATCTTTCTGTTTCTGGATGTTGTATTTTCCTACTACAGGTGATGGACCTAAGAAAAAAGTGTCTTAAGTATCTGGATTCTATGGGACAGAAAGGCCACAGGATCTGTGAGATTCTCCTGTAAGTACAGGTGGGGAGGCACGCGCTGTTAGGTAGCCAGGGAGACCCTGGACAGCAGTCTCACCGAACCTGGCTCAGGACTTCATGGGAATCCATCTTTTTGTCTAAAAATAACCTAATATATGATCTCAACTGAGCAGTCCTACTAGGGTCATCATTGAAAACAAGTTCTTGCGTGTGCGTGTGTGTGCGTGAGAGAGAGAGAGAGAGAGAGGCTGACTGGAGATTGAACTCAGGGCCTTTACACTGACCCATATCCCTAGTCCTTTCTCAGTTTTTACATTTTGGAACAGGGTCTTACTAAGTCACCTATTGCCCGGGCTAGGCTTGAACTGTTGATCCTCCTGCCTCAGCCTCCCTGAGTGCTGAGATTACAGGTGTGGACCATTGTGCCCTGTGAAGTATAATTTATCAGAATCCTATGATTTGAGGGCCGGGGATTTAGCTCAGTTTTTCCGGCACCTGCCTCTCAAGTGCAAGGTCCCGAGTTCAATCCCCAGTACCAAAACAAAACAAAAAGAATCCTATGATTTGAATTATATTTCTTTGGGATTGATACATTACAGTAATACCTCGGTTAGTGAATGCTTCTGTTTGTGAACAGAAGCATTCAGCAAATTTTGTTTCTGTTTGTGAACTTCGCATCGGGTGATGAACACACTACCGTGGCCGTCTTCTCCAGAACTGGGAATGAGTTAAGGTCGTGAACCAAGGCACCTCTGTACTCTAGATGTTCTAATGAACTATTAGCTGCAGAGTATTCGTCCTGTAAATTCTGAAGCTGACTCCAGTCTGCTTTCTGTTGATTCTTGGGTTTACCACATAGAACTCAGGTAATTTTGGTTTTGATTTTGATAATACTGGGGATTAAACCCAAGTAGCTCAGACCTACATCCTCAGGCCTTTTCTGGATTTTTTTTGTTGTTTTGTTTTTTGTTCAGGCTGGCCTTGAGCTGTGTAGCCCAAGGTGGCCTCAAACTTGCAGTGATCATCCTGCCTCAGGCTCCTGAGTATGGGGATTACAGGTGTGTGCCACCACACCTGGCCAGCCCTTTTCTCTTTAATTTTGAGTTAGGGTTTTGCTAAGTTGCCCAGGCCAGCCTCAAATTTGTGATCCTTCTCTCTCAGCCTCCCAAGTAGCTGGGATTACAGCTGCATACCACAGTGCCCGCTCCCGAGGGCAGTGTCTAAATGAAGGTGTGGGATTTGTTGGCAGCTCCTGCAGATCCAGTAGTTCCTGTATCTATCAGGTGTGTGTTCCAAGTGGATGCCAAAACCGCAGACACCACGAAGCCCTGTGTGTGCTGTTTGTTCTTCTTACCCTGCGCTGCAAGCACGGGAATACTGAGATTTTTACCTCCAGAGAAAACCAGTCTTCATCCCTGGCAGTGCTGTTGCCTCTATTGAAAGTCTGCTTGCTGGTGTGTGTTGTCGGCTTCCCATCACTGTGACCAAAGACCTGATGCACACAGCTTAGGAGGAGAGGTGCATTTTAGCTCACAGTTCCAGGAGTCTCAGTCCATGGTTGGCTGGCTCCCAGGCAGAGACGGCTTGGCAGAGGAAGGCTGCTCACCTTATCTTAGGTAGCCCGGAAGCAGGGAGAGGCAGGGAGAGAGGCAGACAGAAGGAGGGGCTGGTGGCAAGAATAGAGCTCTCCGGGTACCCGGTACCTCCTTCCTCCAACCAGCCGCACCCCAGTCGCTTGAGAATCAGTTGATAAGGTTAATAGCCCTTGATCCAGTCACTTTCCAAAAGGCCCACATCTGAGCAGATGAGCTTTTCAGGGACATTTTAGAACAAATTAATGCAGGTCCAGCAGAGGCTTACCTCATATGTGGCTAAGAGGCGAACTAGATGTATGAGTACTGAATTTGATAACCTGGAAATGTGGGTAACATTAATCACTTAGCACTTAAATATGTCTCCTAAAAATGAGTAAATTCTGTATAACTGCAATGTTGTTATCACACTTAAGAAAATAACAATATGTAATATATGGTCCATATTCTGATTTTTTGTGTTCTCTTTCATAGCTTTTTTCCCCTGAGTCCAGGAACCAGTCGAGTTCAGAAATGTCTTTGCCAGGCATGGTATCACACACTTCTAATCTCAGAACTCAGAGAGGCTGAGTCAGGAGGATTGCAAAAGTTTGGTTCCAGCCTGGGCAACTTACCAAATTAGTGAGACCCTGTCACAAAATAAAAAATAAGAAGGGCTAGGATTGTAGCTGAGTGCAGAAAAAAGAAAAAAAAAAGGTCTTAATGTTTATTTACTGTCCTTTATTTTAGAACAGACTTCTTACCTTTTTTCATGCCAATGTTTTTTTTTTTTTCTTTTTTTCTTTTTGGTACAGGGAAACAAACTCGGGTCCTTGCACTTCCTCAGCAGGCGGCGAAACCACTGAGCTAAATCCCCAGCCCTGCCTTTTCTTTTTTTTCAGAGAGTCCAGGCCACCTATCTTGTTTCATATCTGTTTTTTCGTTTGTTTGTTTTTGCGGTACCAGGGATCAAACTCCGGACCTTGCACTTGCAGGGCAGGCGGCGAAACCACTGAGCTAAATCCCCAGCCCCTCGTATCTGTTTTGAAGTGAAAAAAAAGTGTAAAATGAACTACTTTTGAACTGAATAAAATGTGTGTTCTTAAATTGTGTATATGGTGGTAGAGAACTAGAGGGAAAACACAGCAAGTTGGCGATGGTGATTACTTCTACAGTGGTTATTTGTAGGGGTCTTTCTTTGGGGTTTCTGTTTGTTTTGCTTTTCCGTGTGGTTTGAGGATTGAACCCAGGGACAGTATCGCAGAGCTACATCCCCAGGCCTTTTTCTTTTGAGACTGGGTTTCGCAAAGTTGCCCAGGCTGGCCTCAAACTTGCAGTCTTGCCTCTGCCTCCAGAGAATTACAGGCCTGTGCCATTCTCCCTGGCTTACAGGGATCTTTGTCTCTTTACCTCACAGTATATGTTGTAATTATTTAAGAAAAGCATGTACAGTTTTTGTTAGTAGAAAAAGGAACCCAAAATTTAAAAAACCAAAAAACAGTCAGAGTTTTGAAAGCCTGGTAGGTGTAGTTTTTAGAATGGTTAACCGTCAAAGTCTTTTGTAATCATAATGCTTGGTCTCATGGGTATATCCTTTGTTGTTTTCTTTAGTCAGTATTTACAGGACGAAAGCAAGACCAAAAGAAACATCGATCTGAATCTGTTAGAGTGGACCCGCTACAGCATGAAGCCGCACGTAAGTGATGACCGTGTGTATTTGCCGAACTTGGTTGCGTTGTACTGTTTAGACTTAACTACTTCTTCCCTCGCTTCAAGTCTACATGGTTTGTACTTTTGTGGTGCTGGGGATTGAACTCAGGGCCTCATGCATGCTAAGCACACGCGCTGTCTGCCACTGAGCTATATCCCCCCACCCTAAAATATAGCTCTTAGAACCACTTACTTATAAAGCTCCAGCTACTAATTCACCCAAGATGGTTCCTTCTTAGCCTTTATCTTCTTGCTGCAAATATAAATGTTCATTACACTGTTTCAGGAAAACCCAGTCCCAGAATATGAGACTCAGTCCCAAAGTAAGAGCAAAGACAGAGTCCAGCAGGCCCAGTGTCACAGGCTCAGCGCATCCCCACCATTTGGGTAGAAGGAGGGTACTTATAAAGCAGCCAGGACAAAAGTCATAGTATCCAGGCCAGAATGGGTCTGGTTCATCTCAAGCTAATAGTAAAAGCAAAGGTTTCAGGCACATTCTGCACTTGCTGTGCCTGGATCTGGTCATAAAGCGCCACGCACCACTCGATGGTTTTGTATATTTATGCGGGGGAGTCCTCTGGCCAGGTTGCTCTGGGCAGTTGTGGTTATGACTCAGGATGGCTGAGCCATGTCAAGCTTGGTGCCACTGAATCTCTCAGAGAATTGGGAAACAGAACATTTAAGTCCATTTGTCTTCCTGGTTGCTGCAAGTTCTTGTCCAAAATTTACCTGGGGGTTTGTTTATTTAGGTCGTAGGGTCCCATGGCATGGTCATCAGGAGTCAAGCAAGCTGCTTATGAATGTGCTTTGTATCTTGCAAGACTTGAGCCTCAGTTCATAGTTGGAAGGTGATCCTGCCTTGAGTCCTACCAGCCTCCCTTTGAAGTAAGCCACGAGAATTCAGTCCAGTCCTGACCTCTAGGGTGCTCAGCTGTCTTCATCCAAAACCATTGTGATTTCCACACTGAATCATTTGAAAATTAAGCCTTGACACTTCCTGAGCAAAAGACAAATGTGAGAGTCTGTTACAGAGCCAGGTGTGGGACTTGCTGGTCATCCCAGCTCAGGACCTGGTGAGTCACCATGAGTGAGAGCCCAGCTGAACCTCACACGGAGACCTTGTCTCAGATGCGCCCCTCCCCAAGAAAGTCTGTAAAGATGAACACCAAGTTCTGGTACAGGAAGTGCGATTTAAAAAGTAGTCTTCCGAGCTGGGGATTTGGTTCGGTGGTTCCGCCACCTGCCTCAAAAATGCAAGGACCCAAGTTCGATCCCCAGTACCAAAAAAGTAAATAAATAAAAAATAGTCTTGGTACCCATAGTTCTATCTACTCTGAGAGATGCTAGACTCAGGAGAAAATATAAGGCCTCCAGCATATGTGTTGTGCACGGTCAGCTGTTTTTTCGAGTACGCACTGAGCTGTTATCGTCACTGTCTCCCAGCGGTGGAGTCAGCCTCTCTGGTCCTCTCTCTTACGTACCTTATGGGTGACTGCCAGTGTGTCACCGGGCGGCCCAGGCCTAGGGCCAGGCGGGCTTGGAATCTCTGCCGCCAAACAGGCCAAGCGCCAAGGCAAGCTCATCACTGACAGAGCTGATCTGAGGCTTCTCTCTGGCTCTTGAGACTGTAGAGGCCATGGCCAAGGCCTGTGGTCTGGGCTTGGCACCGGGTGGCAACCCCTGCAGTGTTGGAGGAGGTTCATTGTGTTTTAGAGTGGCCCGCACTTAACCTTCTCAAATTTTCTAACTACTGATGAAATTGCGTCTAGTCTTCCTGTTAACACACCTTCCCGGTCCACTTTTGTATTTTGCAAAGCTGGGGCTGGAACATGGGGCCTCACACATGCTGGGCAAGAGCCACCTCCCAGTCCTCATCCCCTCCCTCCCTGTCCCCTGAGAGGGTGCAGACAGATGGACCCACTTTGCTTTTCTCTTTTCTTCTAAAAGCCATTTTCTGTGGGTCCCACACTCCATGTCACAGGTAGTTTTACACCACACAGAGTAAAGCTAATTATATTTGTGCGTGTGTGTTTATGCAATACCAGATTGAACATTTACCTTTGTAATTTTTTCCACAGTGATATTTAGAGAAAATGTAAGGAATTTATATTACATTTACCTCTTCTTCCCTTCTGTTTTTGTAATTTTAGGAGATTCCTCAACAGCTAAATGGGAGTGATTGTGGAATGTTTACTTGTAAATATGCGGACTATATTGCTAGGGACAAACCTATCACATTTACACAGGTGAGTGAAGGCCTCCTCATCCACTCGCTTCTGTACGAGACAACACATTGCCAGTGCCTGGTGCACACCAGGCCCCATTGCAGTAGCTCAATCCTGTGGACCCCTGCGGTGCACCTCGGGCTGATCCCTGCTCTCACTGGCATCTGCTCTCAGGTGCCTCCTGGTCTCGAATAACCAGGCAGGTGCGGCACATCTCAATGCCATGGTCCGTGTGTGTTACGCAGAGGAGTGTGCGAGAGTGTGTGACTGCAAGGGAGAAGCAGGCCTTGTGGGAGCCTGAGTCTTAAGACAGGACTGGAAATACCACTTTTCCTCTCTGTTCTGTTTAGTTTGAGTTATCCGTGGTTCTGTGTTTGAGTGGAAACCCAGGTGTGTTGGGAAGACTTGAGAAGTTTCATTTCTAACAGTGAACTCGCAACCTCTTTACAACCACGGGCAGCCCACATTAAAAGTGTGTCTCATCAACAGGCCTCAGTCAGAGCCACCGTTTCCCAAACGGTGTATGCATCAAGTAGCAGGACGCATGACCCCGTTCTGAGTGTTGGTGCAGCATCAGTAACGAGGAGCCCGCACTGGTTTTCTTAATGGGGCCAGGGATTTAGCTCAGTGGTTCTGGTGCCTGCCTCGCAAGCACAAGGTCCCGAGTTCAGTACCTGGTACCAAAAAAAAAGAAAGGAGCCCTCACTAAATTCATATAATTCTACTCTAAAATAAAGCTGCTCATTGCTGATTCGTCTCAGCAGTTTTACTAAGAATAAATATGCAGATTTTTTGAACAATTTAAAATAGTTTAAGAATCATGTGTTAAGACTTCCACACACACCAAGAAGCCACTAGCAGGCTGCAGTGAAGTGTGTTGTCCACGCATTCATAATGCTACAAAGTGAATACCTCAGGGTTTGAACTGACTTCATCAGAGGGGAGTGGGCAGCCGAGGGCCAGGAATCGTGGCGTCCTGCTGTGTCTTGCTACTTTGGAGATTGGCCCGTGCGGTGATCAACATTTACCGCAATAACGTGTTAAGTAAAACATGTCATTCTTTGATAGCAAGGAGTCCATTGCTCTCTGAGCTCTGGGACGTCAGACTTCAGAGGAGAAGCTGCTTTTTGGACGGAACTGGCAACATTCGGTAGAGCAGAAAGAAATTGGTAGATGTTTTTCTAAACAGCCACTTTCTTGATATGAAAGCAGATTATACTCATTTTAGATTGTTCTTAAAGTACATGTAGGTAGAGAAGTTGCCTATCGTGCCACCACTTGGACATTTCCAGTTTGTTCGGTTTTTTTTTTTGGTACTGGAGGTCGAACTCGGGACCTTGCGCTTGCAAGGCAGGTGACAGCACCACTGAGCTAAATCCCCAGCCCGACATTTCCAGTTTTGCTAATGCTCCCACTCTGAAGTTGTCACATCACCATGTAAAGTTCCAGGTCCTGCTTCGGTTTTCCTTGGCATGTACAGTGCTTGGGTATGTAGGGTAGAATTAGAAGGGTTATGCCTTACAGGCAGCAGTGTCAGGGCTGACCTAAAGGACCCAGGCACTGCACTTCATGTGCATGATGACATGCAGAGGTTGCGACATGGGCGTCGCAGCATGTGACGTGTATGTGTTCTTCACAGCACCAGATGCCTCTGTTCCGGAAGAAGATGGTGTGGGAAATCCTGCATCAGCAGCTGCTTTGAGAATGTTGCCCGCCTGCTCCGGCCACTGGCGGTCCCTTCCCAGCGGTCTCCACATACCTCAGCATCTTGGGCTACCAAGTCTCTGTGCCGCTTCTGTTCTCCCACAGGTACTGAGCTGTTGCCGTGCGTGGAGACATCTTGGGGTGCGAGGGGCTGCTTGTGACCCTGACTGTAAGGCTGTGCCTGCTCGGAGCCCCGGACTGTTCAGCCTGCACAAGAGCAAACGCTACTCAATGTTTTCTCGTTTTAAAGAGCCATTTCCCTGGGAATGTGGGAAATGCAGGATTCATGCTATGAATTGTTTTTTCCGTGTATTTGTTCACGTGTATTCATTTGCTCACTCGTTTGCAAACATTGGGCAGTAGGCATTTTCCATTGCCTCTGACGGTTAACTCTAAATGATGTGCTTGAACTATTTATTTCTGAGAGGGATGTCGATCAAACTGCTGCTCCCTGCTGAAGGTCAGGAGGAACAGGTAGCTGCAGGGCAGGATGGCAGAGGGCAGAAGTAACGCCAAGCGAGCGGTACCTGCCGCCCCGGAGTTAGAGTCTGGCTTCTGGGCGAGGCAGAAACCCCATGGTGGGGCCTGGCTCGGAGCAAGTCCGACACGGCTGCGCTGGCGCCGTGCTGTGGCGAAGCGACTGTGGCCAAGGAGCTCTGCTCTCTGCGGGTCAGAAGTGTGGCGTGCTCATCAGGTGGCACGGCTCACTCTTGAAACTGGATTCCAAGTAACCATAAACCCCAAATCTTCACTTTTGTCCCAGATCCGGTTGAGTGTAAACCTCGGAATCATAAGGGCTGGCCTGAGCTGTTAAATATTTGAGAAGATACTATTCGATTTAAAGCTATTTTTCCTCAAAGATTTTTTTTCTATATATTAAGCTAAAATTAAGTTTTGTATTCATTACGATTCACACCCCTCCCCTGTCCCCAGTGCCCCCACCGAAGTCTGTGGAAGATTTAGTACTTGGCTCTGAGGTCACCAGTTATAATAGTCTATTTTGCATATGAAAGTTTGTATTTAACTTTTTGTTCATTGACAACCTTACCGATGTGGTTATACGTTTTTAATTTCAGAAAGGTTAGAGTTGGTCAGAACCTATTTTGCAAGGTCTAGTGCCTAGTGTCGCTTTTATGATGTAATAAAGGCCCTCTGGCAGAACCGCAGCCCAGCTGATGATTTCTCGCCCTCCCCTCCTCGCCTTCTGCCCCTTCCCGGCGCGTCTTGAGGGAGGAGGAGTGGAAGCCGCAGGTTGTCACCTGTGACTGCTCTCCCTGCGGCCAGTTTACTCCAAGACTTGCTGAGGGCTTGGGCCGGCGACCTGGGCCTGCGGTGCCTATGCCCTGGCCAGACCTGGGACACACTCAGGCCACAGTGTGGGCTGGGTCCCTTCCCGCAGCCGTGTCCTCTCCCTGGACTCCGAGCTGGACCCAAGGCTTCCCCTGGGGGCTGCCCTGTGACCTGAGCTCCAGGACTTCGCTGAGGCCTGCTCGCTGTCGGCCAAGTCCTGTTGTGGTAGTTCGTGCTCTGCCACACAGACGGTGCCGGGCTAAGGCAGTGTTTGAGGGGCTGCTTCCCAGCGGCTTTCATGGGCTCGTCACAGCCGCTCCTCAGTCTTCCAGGACACAAGAAATTGCTACGAGCAGAGCAGTGATCTGGAGTGGCATCTGCTTGACCCTCAGCTTCAGAATTCAAGGTGAGACACCACAAGCGTGGCCCCCTAGACGCTGACGTCCGTCCCCCTTGGTGCACAGAAGCATGTGGGTGTTAGATTCTTTTGTTTTCCTGAGAAGGGTTGCACTATCTAGTCAGGGCCACTTGGGAACTCCTGTAGCGCAGGTTGGCCTCAAATAGCAGTTCTCCTGCCTCAGCCTCCTGAGAATATTGGGACCACCAGCCTGTACCACCATGCCTGGCAGTAATAGAATTTTTATATTTCAACAATTTATGAAAAAGTAGTCTGGTTTTAAAAAAACAGCTATTAGTAGCAAATTAGCAACATTAAATCCAGTCATTTTTTTAAAATTATAGTAGTTTAGGGCCCTGAAAAAGGTGCCACAAACCATTACTCTTTTTTAGTAGGTAGCCTCTGTTTTTAATAATTGACTTTTTAAAAAAATATACTGCTGGTGAGCACCTTTTTCATGCTTGACGTTGTGCCAGAGGTGGCGTTGGGGTGGAAGAGAAAATTGGGGCATCTGGAAGATGTTCTTGGGAGCCCTGTATTCTACCTCAGTTACAGAAGGCTGTTGGGACCTCTGAGCTTTTCCCTCTGGAGCCCTGAGCACCCTGGGGTGGCTGCAGCTGAGCCCACGCTGCATGCTGGACAGGGCAGAAGTTTCCTTGGAAATGCAGCAAGCGTCCAGTACAAATAGGCAGTGCACAGAAGGTGAAGCCCATGATAGCCTTAGGCCTGCAGTTGTGCTACACTGCTTCATCGGCTTCTGTGACCTACCTGGGAGCCAGCTCTCCTTACACAGCTTCTTTGAGATAAAACTCCAAGAATCTGTTCTTCAAATAAACTGGTGGCACTTAGCTCGTTGTAAGTTGGAGTTCTAGCTAGCTATATTGCTTTGGTTTTTAAACTTTAATTTACTTAAATACAAGGATAGATTGGGGATATATTGGAATAGGCGTTGATTTTATCTTTATTAATAAACTCATCTCTTTAGTGACTTTACATGTTTTTATTGCAACTCAGTAATAAATATATTTGGTATTGTGATCAGTACAGTACACACACAACTATTATGTGATTGATTATATATGCACACACAAAAATTTCACAAAACACAACTTACTATTAAGTCTGATAGTTTTATTTGCTTCTTTTTTTGTTTAATGTGGGTTGTGACCGTGTGTGGTTAGTCTTGATTATCAACTTGATTGGATTGGGAAGCAGCTAGGAAATTATTAAAACGCACTTCTGGATGTGTCTATGAAAATGTTTCCCATGTGGGACAGCAAGTGATGGGGAGACCTGCCTTGGATGTGGGCAGCACCATCAGTAGGGTGTGGACTGGACGAAACAAAAGCAGGAAGAGGAAGCCCGAGTTCTACCTCACTCTGCCTCCTGGCAGCCATAAGGTGAGCACTGTCCTCTGCCACACCCTCCCACCATGGTGTCTCTACCTTGGAGCCAGCTGACCATGGACTGAACCCACTGAAACCATGAGCCAAAATAGACCTTTCCTCCTTTCAGTTGTTACTGTCAGGTACTTTTTTTTTCTCAACAATAAAAAGCCGACACAAACCACTAAGTTGATTTCTGTGCTCACTAATGAATAGATATCCAGGGATTTGTTTTGTTTTTGTTTTTGTTTGCAGTGCTGGGATAGAACCCAGAGCCTTGTGTTCCCACTGAGCTACACCCCAGCCCTCAGTATGCAGTTTGAAAAGCACTGCTCCAAGTGACCTAAGAGCAAAATGCAAACTAATAGTTTGAGGGGTCCTGAGGGGAGGGGAGTGAGGCTTTTTAAGAGGATCAGTCCAGACCTAGAACAGGTCAGAAACTCTCAGACCCTTCACGGAAAGGTGTGGCATAACCAATCTTTATTCTTCAGGATTTACATTAATACTTGCTAAAATGTGGGTAGAAGTTCTGTCGCACATACACAGGATGGAAAACAGTTCTGTGGCTCAATATGTGTACTGTTCCTCCCCTTCTAATACGTCTTAGCCTAGCATTTCTCAAGTTGGTGTCGAGTGCTTCCCAGGAGACACCTTTGGGAGTGTTAGTGGAACGCGCCTAGGAAAGCACTGGAAGCAGCAGCCCAGAGTGCTTGAAATCCCCACTGGGGAGCCCCACCGCCCCGGCCCGCACAGCCTGGACTTTCCTAGGCTCGTGGCGTCATAAAGTCTGGTCCCTCAGCACCACGCTGCCCCTCTGGTAGTTTAATTGCATCAGTAAGAGGTACTCCAAGTATCGGAGTGCAGTCCTGATAGAAGGGAAAGAGCAACAGCGTTCCAGACGTGCCACCCAAAGCAAGCGACTTCGCACGAACGTTTAGTGCGTACCGCCCAGAGCCCACACTGCACCGGCCCGGTGTCATTAACAGATGCAGCGCCTTGCTCTCCCTGTAGGGCTGTAGAGCCCCGCCCCGCTGTTTCCCTTGAGGACATTTTCAGGTCAATTGAATGCCTCATTTTATTTTAGTTTTGGTACCGGGGATCGAACTCATGACCTTGTGCTTGTGAGGCAGGTGCGTACCACTGAGCTAAATCCCGGCCCCGAATGCCATGCTGAGCAGTATCAGCGGTGGCCACGATGTTTGCTCAGTATTGCTGGACACACCATCCTGCATGTCTGGCTTCTCTTCTTTCAAGCTCTTAGAATTCAAATTTGTGGTGAAGTGTTACTTTTTTTTTTTTTAATCAAGAAAAAACATCCACTGGTATCTTACTTTTTTATTTTCCACACAGGATTTATATCCTGATGAATTTAAGTTTTATGTTTTCTGTGTGTAGGCCTTCAGTTCATTCTGAGGGATTTACTTTCTCATTTGAGTGGATAATTTTATCTTTTTTTCAATTACTTCACAAAAGACTGTCCTGGGAATTAAGATGAATAGGAAAATAGAGGAAATACCAAAATGAACCTTGCTGTAGTCAGTTCCCCTTCCAGCAGTTAAAATGTGGGTAGTCTTGACTCATCTTTCTCTTTTTTTCTTTTCTTTTTTTTTTTTTTTTTGGTACCAGGGATCAAACTCAGATCCTTGCGCTTATGCAGCAGGTGGCAAAACCACTGAGCTAAATCCCCGGCCCATCTTTCTCTTTTTTTTCATGTGGCACAGTCAGCTCTGGAATATTTTAAAGCAAAGCCCTGATGTCAGACATGTTATTCTACCTAAATGCTTCAGAATGTCTCCCTGACTAGCAACTTAAAAAAAAAAAAGGTTGGGCCGGGGATTTAGCTCAGTGGTTTCGACCCAAGTTCGATCCCCGGTACCAAAAAAAAAACAAAACATCATTTCACATCTAGCTATAAGAATTTACTAAGATGTCCAGTTTATATCAACACTTACCTGATCATTAAAGAAAATAGTTAGGATCGGTATGGTGGCACATGCCTGGAATCCAGCTACTCAGGAGGCTGAGGCAGGATCAACTTCGAGGCTAGCCTGGGCTACTTAGTGAGACTGTCGAAAAATAAAATCTTCAAAAGGGCCAGAGACAGAGGTGAGTGGTGGAGGATCTGCCTGGCTTGTGGAAAGCCCTGGGTTCCATTCCCAGCACTGCCCCCCAAAACTTTATTTGTGGAATCAGGGTATGTCGTGGGCTGAATGTTGGCCACCCAAAAAGCTATGTCCACAACTTAACCCCTAGGACCTGTATTACACAACAAAGAGTGAATATGAAATACCATCTTACATGACACAAGTGTCATTGGCTTCAAGATCTTCAGAATAGCATTGATCTTGGATCGTGCATCTGAGCCTCCACACAATTGCACATCTTACATGAGAAGGATATTCCTGTTGAGGTGCTGGGGATTGAACCCAGGGCCTTGCACATGCCGGGAGCCAGGGCTCTGGTGCCCAACTGCTGCCCGCTGGGGTCCCGGAAGTGCTTGGTAATAGAAAAGCCGGATTCAGAGCTAGCCAAGGGCCAGGGCCAGGGTCTGCCAGGGAGCCTGGGAGGGAATCAGCTCTGTCAGCAACCTGGTTTCAGATTTCAGCTTCCAGAACTGAGAAAATACAGTTCTATTGGTTTAGGCTGTCAAGTTTGTACCAATTTGTCAGTAGTACTCTCAGAAAGTTAATACAGGATCCAAATAAAATCTGCATGTTGCCTTTGGGTTTGTGTCTCTATCTCTGTCTCTCTGTGCCTCTGTCTCTCTGTGTCTCTGTCTCTTTCTCTCTCTCTGTACTGAGGATTGAGCCAGGGGCCCTGAATTTCCTCTCAGGCTCTATAATTTTGAGACAGGGTCTTGTTCTTGTCCAATCTGACTCAAACTTTCGATTCTCCTAGCTCAGCCTCCTGAGTAGCTGGGATTACAGGTGTGCACCAACTCACTTGGCCTTATGTTTCTTTAATCTCTTTTATTCAGTAAGCATTTCACTATTTTCTTTCAAAATATCAATACCAGTATAACTCCTAAATGCAATTTATGATTTATTTGCAGTGAATTTAAAATTTTTAGACTTCATTCTGCTGGAGATTCACAGTGAGAATACTATTTTAACTTTTCCTGAGGACACCATAGTTGGATTTGTTTGTTTACAAGTGTTTCAGGATTTGGTCCAAGAGCAAAATAAGGTATATTTGCAAGTTCTACTGTGTCACCCCACTTTCTCTCCCTGAGTAGGTGACGTTGGCACCTGCTAATGTTCCCTTATAGAGAAGAAACGCTCTTCCCGTTGGTCTTGAGCTCGTCTGTGTGGTAAGAAGCCCTAGTTCCAGGAGCTATGACTGTGACAGTCCCTTCGCAATGGGCCTTCTTTTCTGTTGTAAATGCAGCTGTGACCCACGTGCCTAATGTACTACTTCCTTTTTTTGTTAACACATTTTAGGTTCCTCGCGGTGGGGCTGCTGGGTCGAATAGCTAGCAGCATAGGTAACCTTCCTCTACCTGAGATTTACCGTGAAGAACTTGGCACAAGCAAAGGCCCCCGGTCCCGCGTGGCGGGCAGGTGTCAGCGGCCCTGGGGGTGCCTGCCAGCACCGCAGCGGACACGCCGCTCCCCTTCGCGGCTCGGCCGGGAAGTGGCTGCGGTCTTTGCCCAGGTCGGTGCCGACCGCCTTCCACTCCCGCAGGCCCAGAACGGTTTCTGAGCGCTGCGCACCAGGGCAGCTGGGCCCCAGCTCGGCACCTCCTCCTTTTCTTGCACAGGTTCACAGACAAGTGTTTTGGACATGGGCACTTTAGGAGCTAAACTAGAAATTCTGCCATCAAAATAAAGGCCAGGGAGCGAAAACTTCCGGGGGGAGCCCAGGGTCCATTTGGGGAAGGTCCCGTCCCCGGGGTCCCCTCTGGGAGCCCCCACCGAGCCCTCCTCCAAAGCTGTGCTGTCTCTCCGCTCGGTGACATGGACCCCTGCCCAGGGCACCACTTCAGTCCCAACCGGCTGCCAGGAGCCCTGGGCCTCTCGGGGGCTCAGCACGGTCTCTCGGTCTTTCCCGCCTCTAGCGGGCAGTGGGCCTGGTCCCGGGTGGGGCAGGAGACACGAAGGCACACGCGGGGCCATGAGGCCCTGTCCACATCCACACCAAGCAAGCAAGCAAGCAGCGGCTGACGGCGGGGTGCTGCTGCTGGGCATCTACGTGCCACGAAACTGGACGAGATGAGAAATGAGAAAATCGCCTTTCCAGTGATTTAGGGGGCAACGGGGTTCAGATCACGTGACCCTCGGAGCCTGACTGAGCACTCCGACAGGGAAGTATCAGCTCGTTTTTTGAGACAGGACCTTGCTACGCTGGCCCGGTGGGCCTCAAACTCCTAGGGCCAAGTGGTCCTGGCTAAGTATCAGCTCCCGGTCCCAAGACCTCGCGGGCTCTGGGCAGCCGCCGATGGGGTACCCGAGTCTGAGCGAGCTGGTAATGCAGCGGCTTCGCTCTGTCCCACCCTTCACAGCCCGTCAGGAGGGTCGAGGTACAGCACCCCTTTCCGAGTCAGCAGGCGCCTCTCACCCTGGCCAGGCGTGACGTTGTCTAACGGGAGAACTAGGCAGACACACGCCCACCCGGCTGTCCTTGGGTCCCCAGCGCGGGAAGGACCCCGAGAGCGTTGGGAAGCAGAGACCCTGTGCCGCACCCACAAGTGATGGCGCACCTCGATAATCTTTCCAACCAGGCCCGGGTGACACAGCCGGTCTGGGGGCGCGGACCTAGATCAGCGTCTCCCCAGTAACCCCGTGACTAAGTCCCAGGAGCTCCAGGAGGCTGCCCAAGTCCCCAGGGCTGTGACTGCTGACACCAGGATGCGGCCGTGCTCACTCAGAAAGTAAGACGCCGAGACACCAGGATCATGTTAGCTGGATATATATTTTTTTTCTGAAATTTTTTCCTTTTTTCTTTGCCACAGAACACTGTTTGCAGTAGAGGAAACTGGCATTGCAGTCTGGTGGTAAAATGGCTTGTTCACATAAACCAGTACATGTTCATCCTTTCGCGCAAAAAGCCCTAATGGCATGTACCCTATTGGAATTCAGGACATCTCCAATTCTCTCTCTGTTTTTGTCTTTTTTTAATAAACATTTTCAAGGTTTGTCCAAAAGAAGGCCATACAGGCTCTCGGCTAGCGGAAGACAATTCAAAACGGCGGTCGCACACTTGGAGTCACCTTCTCCAGGCTGGCAGTTGATATCTTATTTTTTTTTCCAACTCATTTTTATTAAAAAAATAAAAAAATGCTCCAACTATCAGTTTTACAAAATCTCTAAGGGAAATACAAGAGCAAGGTGCTGAGGTAAAAAACACCTGAGGTAGCTTTTTTTTGTGTTTTTGTTTAAAAAAAAAATCTGTAAATTTTAACGCCCTGGGCCAACAACCTTGTGTAAATTATTTTCCTCCATTTTTAAAAAAAAAAAAAAAAAAAGAAATCATTTCACTGAATGTTGATGGCTTAGACACCAAAATGTAAAATGACAAAATACATTCTTTCTTCATGGAATTTCTCTTGGTTGGGTTGGCTGGTTGCTTTGATGGGTTCCTGTTTTCCTCTTCCAAAATGCTAGGACAAGTACCACTGACTCTTGTTCTCTTGAGTAACCAAGTGTAAGCTGAGGCTGGTTTGTGTGTTTCGCGTTTGTTCCTTCTGTGTGATATGATACTCAGAGCACTGCTTTGCCTGGGGGTGCGTAGGTACAGGGGATGGAGCGGGGTGGGGGAGAGAAACAGAGAGAGACAGAATTATATAGCAGTATGCAAAAAACCAGTTTAAAACCTGTGAAAGCCGAAAGAACTGTGTGTGAGCTAGACAGGTGGGGAGGGCCAGGCCCTCCGCGGACGGTATCCCTTCTGTTGACAGACACAGGGGTCCAGAACTGCTGCGAGTGTCCTCGGCCGGGAATCCCCTCGGGGTGAATTTTGTGGGTGGCCTCAAAGTTCCTTTCTACACCATTAGACCTCCCAAAGACTTTATTCTTCAAAGTCTAGAAAAGCCTGCTTTCTGTTCAAAAAGAAAACAAAATTAATTATTGAGTAAAAATTGGAGTTAGTTATTTGATATATTATTTCTAAAATATATTAATGCTGCAGGCACCCTGTGTAACCCACAGGCCACATATCTTAACATCTTTCCCCTTCTAATATGTACACACATGTACAGAGACAATTTTCCACAAAAAAGAAAAGGGGGTGAATTTTGCTTTGCTTGGAACACGTTCACCTATGTTAGTTCAACTCAAAGGGATAGCGTCGTGGACAGGGGATCCATCCGAGTGGTGGGGAGTGATGGGAGTGGCGACTGCGAAGCCTGCAGAGGCGGGTGGGCGGCCAGCGGATCCAGGGACCCCAGCCTCCCCGTGCCCCTCCGCTGCCCGCGATTCTCGGCGTGCGGCCCCGGGGGCCTCCACAGACTTCTCGCTCCTCAGGGTGGTCTTTGGTTTGCTCCCGAGCTGCTGGCTGTGTTTGGTCAGACGGTCCGGTGTTGGGAGGGCTACATTCATCCGCGTTTGCTGGTGCCTGGGGCGGCCTCACTTGCTGCGCTGCGAGGCGACTCCCTGAGGGTACTTCTGCTCCTGCTGCTTCACCTGCTGTACGATTTCCCTGATCTTGCGCTGTGCAGTCTGCAGCAAGGCAGAGAGGGGCAGATGGGAAGGGGGCGCAGACACACACGTCACCTCCCCGGCCCCCACCAGGGAGCAGCAGGGGTCCCTTCCTTCCCACTCCGTCACTGGGCAGAGGGCAGCAGCAGGACCCAGCAGCTGCCCCCTCCCAGAGGATGAACAGGGCAGGGCAGGGCAGGGCAGGGCAGGGCAGGGCGGAGCAGAGCAGAGGCCGCAGTGGCGGGCCCTGCAGGGGCCACACAGCTCAGGGTCCCCACTGTGGCCCGGTGCCAGGACAGGGCAGGACCCTGCTCCACGCTGCAGGGAGAGGGGCTGTGCACACGGCCGCCAGGGCCTCCCCTCGTGGGCCACAGGGGAGCAGAGCCTGGTATCCGCCGGCCAGGGACAAGGACTGCGTCCAGCAGAGCCTGGGGAGAGAGGATCGGACAGAACCCTCTCCTGCTCCGGAATGGCCGCAGGAGATGGGAGCGGCCCTGTGGGGCCCCTGAGGTGGTGACCGGGAGGAGAGAGCAAAGTGGGGAACTAGGGTCCCCCGAGATGCACGCTGAGCTTGTCGCTTGTCACGGTGAGGTCTTGGCACCACGTGGCCACCGCTGGGCCTGGGCAGCGAGGGCAGGGCTGTGAGACCTCGGGCCTGGGCGCAGCAGGACAGCAGCGGAGAGAAGGAACAGGACAGAGTGCCCCGCAAACACAGTCCCCGCCCAGCCAGCAGGGAAGAGGGCTCTGGGGTGTGTGTGCGCACGCCCATGCACACGCGTGTGGCCCAGGAGGCCACGAACAGCTTAGGGGAGAAGTGGAAAGAGATGGGCACGCTACCTGGCTAGCAAAGAAATGCCCGATAATTCTGACGATCACTTCCTCGTTCTCATCGGGTGTTTGGTCACGAGGCACGATGACTTCCGCGCTGGTCAGGTTCTGCAGCTCGTTCACCTGCACGGGCAAGGAGGCGGTGGGCGCCATCAAGGCAGGGCTTGGGGAGGCAGAGACCACTCCTTTCCTGCATCTGACTCCGGGCCACCCTGGCCCCAGTGGGTCTGGCCCTGGGGAGGGGCTTGGTGACAAGAGGGCAGGGGCTCAGTCCTCCGCACTCACTCCCAGCAGTCCCAGCTGTCCCCTGGTCGAGGTGACCAGGCCCCGACACACTCTGGGGTGCTTCTGCCCCCCACCCCACCCACCCTGGCGGCCTCCTCTGGGAAGCCCGCCCACACCAGTGCCCCACCCCAGGCATCTCCCACACTGGCCTCACCCACTTCCCAAGCGGCCACCCCGCCTCTGGCCCTGGCCTGGCGCTGGCTCACGGCAGGGCACGGTGAGCACAGAGGAGAGCGGAGGGAAGTGGGGTACCAGACTCTCCGTGTCTGGTTCTAGGATGCCCCAACAGGCCTCAGAGGCTGCTCCTCTGCTGATGAGCACTTGCTTCTGCCTGCTTCTGCCTGCTACCCGGCAGCTCCGCCGGGAGCCCAGCGCCCTGGGGTGTCCCCTGCATCCCTACAGCTGTGTTCCTGAGTGAAGGTGACTCATTGTATCCAGAACTCGGTTTTCATCCTCTGAAATCTCTTTATACAACAGCACACACACACCACACTCACACTCACACACCACACTCACACTCACACTCTCCCTCAGGACTCCAGATCCCAACACCCGAGTCCTGCCCACCGCCAGTGCCGGACCGTGTGCCCACTCGGTGTCTGCCCTAGGCCTCGGTCACCACCCTGCACGTTCCCTCTTTCCCTTTGGCGGTGCTCGGGCTTGAACACAGGGCCTGGTACACACAAAGCGCACGCTCTGCCGCTGAGCTGCATGCCAGCACCAGCCCTTTTCACACGTTACACTGCATGACTGCCACCCTCGGTCTCAGAGCGTGGAGTCGTTTAAGAGACCACCTCCTTCCTGGGCCGTGCACCGCTGCTGAGCAGGGTCTGCCCAGCAGGTGTCTAAGCGTGGGAGCAGCCTGTGAGGCCTGGCTCCCCGTGTGTGGACCTGAAGCCTGGGGTCTGGTGCTGGCCGGGCACCGGAAACCCGGCCCGACATTCCAGGCGATGCTGACCGCCGGACCTCGGGCTCCTGTGACTCCGACGCCAGCAGGGCCCAGTTTGTCAGTCTGAGGCGGGGAGCACACCAACAGGACGAGAGCCGGGCGTCCAAGCGGGACACAGAGTGAGCCGGCGCCCACTTACGGTTTTGCCGCCTTTGCCAATCACCCGGCCAGCAGTGGAAGAGGGCACTCGGATGTGGGCTTCCAGCTTTACCTCTTCTTTAGGGTTAAAGAAGTTTTCTTCTTTCAGTTTCCCGAAGATCCGCCCCTGGGCCTGGAGAACACAATGAGACGGGACCAGGGTCTCGGGACGGAAGCACCAGTCCCCACCCCGCCACACACAGGGAAGCGCCTGGCTCGGCTCAGCTCACACACAACCCCACGGGTGTCGGGCTGCCCGTTTGCCCAGCGCCTCTGAGCTCCTCCGGCCACAGCAGTGCGGCCCGGCTGTCAGAATGGAGGCCTCCAGAGCCCAGGTGGGATGCGGAGCCCTGGGGCTGAACCCCAAGTGCCCTGAGACAGCTTCTCACACTCAGTCACAAGGCCAGTACCCTGAGGGGCTGCTCTTAACTTACAACATCCCCTCCTTTTGGGGCTGAGCTATTACACCGTGAGCACAGAGCACCTTCTGCCCATTTGTGAGAGGAAGTGGGTGTTCTGGCAGCACTGGGGACTGGACCCAGGCCGCCTCTCTGCTGTGCTCCCTCCAGGCCTCACTAAGTCACTCAGCTAGGCCACATCTGTGACCCCCCTGCTTCAGCCTCCAAGCGTGCCAAGGTTACAGGCCTGCACCGCTATGCGCAGCGAAGGCTGGTGTTTGAATGGTTCCTTATGCATTCACTTTATCCTTTAAATCTAATTTTCAAGTTTTTAATTAAAAGGGGTGTGTGTTTATACATTAATACGTGTTTCTGACGTTTAAAAAACTCATTTATAATTTTGTTAGAGGAGGAGAAAAGGCAAAAAGATGAAACAAAACCATGCTTCTAAAGCCCCGGCTTTTCCTGTGCATCCCATGTTAATGCCCACAGCTCACAGGTGAGGGATTGCAGCCTCAGGAGGGCAGGAGCCAGGGTGGCCCCAGTGGGGTGCTGGGGCCCCCGAAGACAGCCTGCCTGTGCCTCTGAGGTGGCCCCAGCACTGACCTTGAACTGGGCTTCAGGTGGCCCGGTGATGATGACCATCCGCTCGCTGACGTCTGGGCCTTCGGCCGGGGCAATCTGCGGGTCACAGGAAAGAGATGATGCTGGCATAGCCCCTCGTGCTTGTCTGAGTGGGCGCCCTGCACGCCCACCTCCAGGGCATTCGGGTGCCAGGCCTTTGTACCTGCTTTGTACCACCCCGGGCCATTCCATTTGGGTCTCAGCCACCCAGGCAGAGTGAGGCATTGTCACCCCTGCCCCGAGTGCAGGTGGGACCAGCCTCCTTTCCCCAAGCCAAGCCCCGGGAGGAACGGGAAGTCGGGAGCTGCAGGAACAGGAGTCTGGACTCTGCCAACCCCACAATGGGCAAGGGCCCTCAGGAAGGAAGGGTGGGTCCACAAGGTACCACCCTGAGGCTGGCCAGGTTCTCTCAGCGAGAAGGGAGCTGAGCAGGTCAGGGAGGTTTGGCTCCTCCGGGCACAGGAAGCCGAGTCCAGCAGCCCCGAGAAGGGGGAGGATCCCAGGGTTCTGCGACCCCTCCCTGCATCCCCTCTATCCCCCTGGGAAGTGTGCAGGGGCAGGATGGAGCTGGCGAGCTCAACACCTCCTCCTGACTCTGTCTGAGCTCTTGTAACGTGAACAAGACTCAGCAAGCACTTTTTTCCAGCAAGTATTTTTTGTTAGAGGTTGTTGTTGCCTTTTTAAAAACGCATTGTCTTATTCCAAAAAGATTTAATTAAAAAAAAATACAGCCGAGTGCAGCGGTGCACTTGGGAGGCTGAGACAGGAGGATGACGATATTGAGCCCAGGAGTCCGAGACCAGCCTGGCAATGCAGCAAGAAATACAACACTGGGCCGGGGATTTAGCTCAGTGGTTCCGCAGCCTGCCTTGCAAGCGCAAGGAACAGAATTCGATCCCCGGTACCAAAAAAAAAAAAAAGAAATACAACATTGAAACAAAAGCAAAAACTGAAACCCAATTAGCAAATTGTAGGAAAATTAAACTTAATTAAAAGTAAAATGAGTTAGAAGCACGCCAGGCCTTTAGGAAGGTAAGGATGAACCACGTACACAAACTGCACTTCACAAGGTGCCTCGGTGGGGCCGCAGAGTCACTTCTAAAATTTTGTGTGTTTTTTTGGCACCAGGGATCAAACTCAGGGACTTGGGCTTGCCAGGCAGACGCTGCACTGTTGAGCTCCACTCCCGGCCCAGGTGTTCTTGTCTGTTTATGCAGTACTGAGACTGAGTCCAGGACCTCTGCACTGAGCTACTTCCCAGTCTATTTTGAGACAAACTGGGCTTGAACTTGGGATCCTCCTGCCTCAGCCTCCCAGAGTTCTGGGATGACAGATGTGCATTACTATGCCCAGCTTCACTTCTCAGCTTCTAAGAGCAAATATGAAAAGGAAACATGGTTATTTACAGGGTTCCAAAGGAAAAACCAACCAGTGGCGCAGGGAAGGCTCTGTTCCTGGGACTGAGCCCTGAGAAAGGAGCTCTGTTGGCAAAGAACTGGGATTCCCCACCCATGCGGTGGCGTCCCAGCCTCGGCCTCTCCGGAAGCCGGAAGCCGGAAGCCAGAAGCTGTCTCCTCACAGCTCTGCTGTCCTCCTGGCAGCAGCACTGGAAGGCAGGCTCGTGGGCGGGCTCAGCGCCCCGGCTCTCAGGGGAAAGGGACTGACCCAGGTCCTGCTCTGCAGGGCTCCCTGGCCCGGCGACCATGCACCGAGGCACAGGATGAATGAATGTGAGTACAGGTGACGCTCAGCTCCTCAGGGTCCGCCCTCCACCTTGGGCAGCCGTTCCCAGGCAGTGGCCTTGGACTGGGCTCAGCGGGCCCAGGGCTTATCTCGGGGCACTCGGCAGACTGGGCCATGGCCAGGACGGTCCTGGCTCCCCCCCCCCCCCCCCCCGCCAGGGGCAGGAGGGCTGATCTGAGAGTCAGGGTGACCCATTCCTGCTGTCGCTGTCCACTTCCCAGGGACTCACGCCACTCTGCCTGGATTCGGAAAGGAGCCCCTGCCCCTCTCCCAGGGCGTGAGCTCCTGCAGCAGAGGACGGCGTCCCAGGGACCGGAACAAGGGCCTCACTTAGGGCCACAGTGTTCGTGGGACCCAGGGACACAAGGGGACCCAAGCCCAAGGAGCAGGCGGGGGTGGTAAGGCTCAGGAACGGGCAGGCCCCGGTTCACATTGTCCACCGAGTTTCGTGAGGCATTCGGAAGCCTGCTGACCTCGGCTGGCAGGAAAGGTGGGCGACGGGAACCCAACCCCACATCCCGTGAGAGCCCCAGATCCAGGCACAGCTGGCTGCACCCTGCTCCCTCGGGCCAGGGCAGAGCTCTCCGAGCCCCGCTGCCCCCAGCGCGCCCCTCGTTACGGCCCCCGAAGGCCAGCAAAGCAGAGACCCAGCATCCTGGACGTCCGACTGCCAAGATGACGGAGACCCAGCAAAAAACGAGGCTTCTCAGTAGTGTATTTCACAAATACTCAGGATTCCGTTTTCTTCCCTCCTTTCCAAGGCCGCACAGCGAGGCACGGCTGAGGAAGGAGGGCGTGGGCCCAGCGTAAAGCAGTCACCCACGCTGACTGACGTGCGCGAGTCTCCACCAGCCGTCAGCAGCACAGTGGCGCCACCTAGCGACCCCGCCGGCACACCGGAGTGACACGCTACGGTGACGCCGGGACACTGCGCTCTCACTGCATCTTCCGAAAGGCCTTGATGGGAGCGGCTCTGAGAGCAGCAGGCTCTGGAGTGCGGAGAACCTGGGCAAACCCTGACCCCACTCCCTTCGGCGCGGGGCCTTGCAGGAGGCACCAGGACCCCGAGCCCCGTTCACGGCCGCAGTCCGCGGCGTCAGGGCTGCGCGGGCCCCAGCAGGTGCTCGCTCTCTTGGTGGCCTTTATATCCAGAAGCAATGCGAACCCTCGGGGTCCCGACCTTGTCCTTCTGCCGTGTCCGGCTTCTCGGCTGAGCAGAGGGGAGCTGCTGAGGTGACCCCTCCGATCCCTGCAGCTGAAACCAGCTCGTCCTGCCGGTGCCTCAGACTGCAGTGAGCGCGCAGGGCCCTGGCGGAGCTGGCCGTGTCCTCACATTTGCCGTCCCACAGCGGGGACCGACAGGCGCCCACCTGTCAGCACCTCGGCCAGGGGCCCACCCGTAGCCCACCAGGTACAGAGCCCCCCCCCCTCCCCGGCAGCCCCAAACGTCTCCCACACTTCAGGCTCTCCTCTGGGCTGTAACTCGGGGGAGAGGGGGGAGATAAATGAGCCCTCAGAGGGAAACCATGTCTCAGGACAACATTGCTTCACTGCCTCACTGTGATCCTGATTCTGCACAACTCAGAACGTTTTGGGTTTTTTTCCCTTCTCCAGCACACTTGCTGGGGGAGAAATTCCAGCTCTTCTTGGGCAGAGTAGAAAGCATTCTTTCTCTCCAAGTCATGCATGAGACTTCTTGTTCGGAATTCCAGGTTGTCTCCTGGTAGCAAATTATTTTTCATAACAACGGAAACTCTGTTTCCCAAAGTGTTTCCTGAGGCTGGGCGGTGCTCAGCATGCTGCCGGGGTCCCGTTGGCCAAGCCGCGGCTCCCTGCTCGGAGGGTGCACACCGGCGCTGGAGCGGGCAGGACGCGGCCCGCACACCCAGCGGCTTCTCCCTGCCCACTGGCTTTGGTTTACCCACGATTTTATCATCGCTTTTCATGAGTTTTGCATTCAATGGGGATTTAGCTCAGTGGTTTCGCCGCCTGCCTCACAAGCGCAAGGCCCCGAGTTTGAGCCCCAGTACCAAGAGTTTTGCATTCAAATCATTTCCTCATAGTTCAGTGGCTGCTGAGGCGCAGACTAACGAAAGCACCTAAAGCCGGCACCCCTGGAGCCCCTCAACAGCCCCCAACTTGTCCTTGCTGGATCTTGAGAGGGGGGGCAAACAGTCCAAAGAGGTCCTGGCTGGGTCGCTGCTCCCACGTTTTCTAATTCAGTTGTCAGCTGAACAGAAAAGGAAGAAGTAGAGGAAGATGGGAGAAGATGGGAACGGTCCGGATGTGGTCGGAGCTGCCTGGGACTGGCGGAAGGAGGGAGGGACACGGACAGTGGCTGACAGGGCAGCCGTACCTTGATGGAAGCCCCGGCAAACCGAGCCAGCTGTTTGATGTGCGCCCCCTTCTTCCCGATGATGGCGCCCACGGCCTGGGTTGGGATGAAGAGATTCACGATCTCTTGCTCTGGGTACTGGAGAGGCAAGTGGGACAGACGACGTCATCACCACCGGGCCACCTCTCAGGCCCCAGCTGTACCCAGGACGTCCTAGGAGCCCGACGGGGAGGCCGTGCTATGCAAGGAGCCGTCAAGATGGCTCGGGCGTCCTTCTGCGGGCACAGCCCAAGTGAGCCTGCGCCCGGGCTGGAGCCCTGCCGTCCAAGCGGGCTCCTCTCAAGACCCGGATGAACATGTGGGAGGGGAACAGCTGCCTGTAACATACAAATCCCACAAGCATTTTCTTCTGTCTTTACCCACGAAATTTAACGCCATCAGGGGAAAGGGAAAGCTGCCCGGCCTGGGCAAAGCCAGGAATCCAGTCTGCATTAGGCAACTGGCCCTGCCCTGACTGGGGAGCGTGACGACCTCCCAGAGACAGCCAGCCACCCGTCCTGGGACCCTGTGGGTGAGGCTGCCAGCGGTCCTGGCTCCAGAGGTCTGTGGCAGAAGTGAGGGGCACTTACCGAGTGATGATGCGGGAACGGGCTGAACTGGTGGTGGGGGTACAGGCTGGAGAAGTATCCGGAGTGTGTCTGCAGCAGAACAAAGCAGCTGGCCCGTGAGTCTCCTCACACTCATCCCTCTGTGTCTGATTTCTCCTCCCTTTCTCCCACTTGGATTGCTGAAAACTTGGCAAGACGTCACTTGATCACAGTAACCTGGGCTGAGCATTCACCATTTCTAAGCCAGGTCATGCTTTAGGCTTCCTAGGAACTTGGTACCAGAGTGATCATACACTTACACACATCCGTGCGTACCCAACACAGCTCTGCCCTGCCTTGGGGTAGAAAGGCTTCTATTTCCTGGGAATTCTGAGTCACAGACTACAGGGAACAGAGAGTCCTGGGATAACATCGAAGAGCTATTCAGCGCCAGCAGTGGGAGGACAGAGCACTTAGCTCCCTCAGAGACTCGCAAGAGGGGTGGACAGATGGGAGAAATTGAAAGAGACCGAGAAAGAGGGGAAGAGAATGAATGAACACATTGTATGTGAACATGGAAAGAGGGAAGCAGCATACAGGAGGGTAGATATGGACCAAAGAAAATAAGAGCTACCGCGGAAAATCAAAGTTCATAGAGAGTAGCTGGTCTTTAATTGAACACCTACTGTGTACCAGGTACTAAGACATACTATATATATATATATATATATTCATAAGTTCTTTTAATCCTCCCAATTGTACCGCCAGACAGGAATGTCTGATTATATATGTTCCCATGGGCAGGACACTGGCCAGGGCCTGCAAAGTCTAGTTAACTGCTTTACCCAAGGCCGTGTGACACTGACGTTACTGTCAGAGGAAAGGAGCCATCAGCTCTGGGCACTATGGCACCCCGGCTGCATAACGGCACCCCAGGAAGCTGGTTCCAACAGAGTCAGACATAGACGACGCTGGGATTCTGGGACTCAGCTCCAGGTCATAAAGTTTATCTAATTTCCTTAGGGACAAGGTAGAATGGTTCCTCTTTTGGAAGGTGCAGAGAGAAGGCAGAGACAAGAACCTGGGGCCATGAGGGCTCTAGGGCCTGCCCCGCTGTGATTTGGGAAAAGGCTGCAGGGTTCCCTCATGACCACAAGAGGGTGCCACAGACCGGCGGTTTCAGGGCAACCTCGAGTTTGCCAGGCAGGTGAAGAGGTTTGTCTGTGGGGCTTGCCTTTCTTTTCTCTTTTTTTTTTTGGTACCAGGGATCGAACTCGGGACCTTGCTCTTGCAAGACAGGTGGAGCCACTGAGCTAAATCCCTGGCCCGGGTCTTGCCTTTCTTGCGGACCCCCTGGGAAGCTCATGGGCTCCAGACTCTTCACTGAAAGGTCCCCATCCAAGTCCTGCAGCCTTTCTGCTCAAAGCTCTGTCCTGGGGAAAGGGCGCTTCTGCCCTCCCCTTGCCCGAAGCACAGTGCCTATGCTCTCACAGCAGAAAGATACCTTCAACTGTGCCTTGCCTGCCCTTCTAAAGCCTGTGCGGGACCGAGGACAGAGAAGCCACAGCATGGCTCCTACCCTGGGCCCGAATCCTAACATGGACATGATCACATTTAGACCACCACTGGGGGTAAGGAGAGCTTAACGAAAAAGGATGAGAGGGCAAACACCTTTTTTTGTTGTAAAGAAGGAATCCTGATGCCAGCAATCAGCTGGCTTCTAGCAGAGGCCTCGTCATTAGCCTTTTGGACACATGTTGGTTTTGGAGTTAGAAGATCTGGGTCTGAACTGCCAGCTCTGCAAGTTGGATGATTCAGTAAACCCTTCCATCTTACCCACATATGGATTATAATGACATCTACATCTTACATTCACTCAAATGTTCATTCATTCAACAGCTACTTGAGTCCCTAGTGTGTGGGAGGCACTGCCCCAGGTGCTGAGGACACAGTTATTAGGACAGAGACTGCCACCAGAGGATTTACGGCTCACAGGAAGCAGAAACAAAAGATAACTTCAGAGAAGCACAGCGGCAGCTGAGAGGCTGAGGCCTGAGGAACTGGAGATGGAGTTGGAGCCTACGCGAAGGGAGACCCAGAGCCAGGACAGGGGCTGGCGGACATGCTTCCTGAGGACCGGAAATACTAACCTGCCAAAGTCCTGAAGGAGGCAGGCTGCAGTCACCTGACCTGGGGCCCAGGGAATGCCAACCCAACAGTGGCAGTTGGACTCACTGTCCCAGCACTGTATGTGGGAGAAGCTGCTTTATCACCGAGGTGTGAAGAGCTTTAGGGCAGCGGGTGGGAGAAAGCAGTGTGTGACCCACCCCACCAACCCTATCACCACCCACAGCTCATTTCCAGCTCTCCACCTGAGGCTCTCTGCTTCTGCTCCCCCTCCGGCTTTGACTGTGCTGGGGAACAGGCGGAGGAAGATGCATCAAACACATTTGTGACAATTCAGAGCAGTTACCACCAGCTAGGCCTGTTTCCCCGGGAGAAGTGCAGCACCTGAGCTAAGTGTGAGAGCAGCTGATCCATGGTTCAGGTGCTGCTTGGAAGCAGGCGGAAATGGGGGTGGGGAGAGAGAAGGGAAGCGGGTGGGGAGAGAGCAAGGACCAGGCTTAGGAATTCTACGCTGGCAGATGAATCCCTCAGGAACTCAGGCCTGGGGAAGGGAGAAGACCTGGCCAGAGAGTGGCTGTGGGGACATCAATTCGGAGGCGCACTGTGCTACTCAAGACTGTCCAAGTGTCTCTGTCCATGGTAGCCGCGTAGCCTCCTCAGTAAGCTCTCTGAGGACAACCAAAGGGAGCCGGCAGGAGCTGGAAACTGGTAAGCTCACCAAGACAAAGCAACATCTGAAGACAGGTAGGTCTCTGTGCCTGAGCCTGCTGCCCAGGAGCTTAACTGCACCGCCTGACACTGCAAACACTGGGGCACTCAAACTCAAGGATGAGGGAGGCCTTGGAGCAGGCTGTGACAGAGACCTGAGGCTGCTGGGTTTGCTTAAGTAATGAATGGGCGAGTCAAGCTCACTGGACATGTATGTGAAGAACCAGCTGCATCAAAGATGGGAGGGAGGTGCAGCAAAGCAAACAAACCACCTCCATGAATTAATTCAGGAGGGAGAGCTTTTCAGAAAGTTCTGCTTTCATTTCCTAGAGAGATTCAAGAGGACAGTGCTGCAGTGAAACATGAACAGGCTGGTACCAGAAAAGACCACCAGGGAGCCATAGTGCCGACTCAGTAAGTAAAAACTCCAGAGGGCAGAAACCCCGCAGAGGACGCTGCTGAAAGCCTACGGGCGCATCAGAAACTGAACCCCTGGGAAGCGGAGTCGGACAGACACAGGGCTGATTCACTATCCAAAGTGGGAACTCCAGAGCGGATGGGGTAGAAGCAATACTAAAATTAGTTACAGTACAGAAGGAAAGGACTTTCCTGAGTCAAAGACCTTAAATCTTCAAATCATAGCACTCATGTTCAGATTTTTGAATTCCAAAAAATGAATGCAAAATACTGTAAGAAGGCCAAACACTTACAGACAGAGAAAAAAGTTATCTACAAAAGAAAGAGAATCAGGCTGGTAGCACGGCCATCTGGAAAGCAGTGCTAGAAGTAGTTTTCAGAGTCCCAAAGGATGACCCAAGCATTTACAGAGACTCACAAATTTTCATTTATGTTGAGAAAAATAAAGGTATGTTCAGACATACAAAGGTTCAGAAATAACACCAGGGAAGCACCATTTCCTGAAGAAGTTGTCTGAGGAAATATTCCAGCCAAACAAAATCCAAATACATAACTCAAACAGGAAAATAAGGGAGACAAGCAATAGCCCATAATGAGCAAAGAAACCAGTAAAAGTTCAGTCAACTCTCACTACGGATTATGAGATGATGTATTTATTAAGAAAGAAAGTTTACTAATTTGGACTAAAATCCTAGATTATTTCTAGAACATTTAAAAATCTGTTAGAAATAGAGACATCAACAAAATCATAATCAGAGAACTGTAAACTGTGCTCACAATTTAGTAAGTCACAGAGGTAATATTACAGCTGGGTGTGGTGGTGCATGCCTGTAATCCCAGCACTCAGGAGGCTGAGGCAGGAGGATTGCCATGACTTTGGGCCAGCCTGGGCTACACAGGGAGTTCAAGGCCAGCCTGAATTACATAGCGAGACCCTGTCTCAAAAACCAAATCAATTTTATAGAGCTTATGACTCCCCTGTTAAAGCTTAAAATAAGTATTTTTGTTTTGGGTTTTGATTCTTTTACTTATCATGATTATTAAAATAATTAGGTAGTGAGCTGCCAGAAGTCATTAAAATTAACAAAAGACGGTAGTAGTTAGCTACGATTTACACAGTCGTTACTATACACAGACCTGTTTAATGAATAGCTCTCCACAGCCCCATGATGCAGGCATCATTATCTCCATCTTCCAGACAGGGATACTGAACCCCAGGGAGCTTACATTACTTGACCAAGGTTAAAAGCAGCATGTGATGGTACAGAGATTCAAACGCAGGCAGTCTGCCTCCAGAACCTGAGCTATTTTGGTACAGATTAATGGGCAAGAAATACTAAACGTCAATTTATTAGAGAAAAAAAATTTACTAGAGAGGAGAGAAATGGCCAATAAACCCAAAACTTTTATCTTATGATTTAAAAAAGGAATATTTAAAAATAACAGACACAAAGAGTAACTCATTGGTAGTGAGGGTACGAGGTCTAAAACCCTGCCTCTGTCATATATATTTTTTTTTGGTACCGGGGATCAAACTCGGGTCCTTGTGCTTGCGCAGCAGGCAGCGAAACCACTGAGCTAAATCCCTGGCCCCATACACTCTTGGTAGAATAAAAAAAGTATATCCTTGGGACTGAATCCAGGGAGCACTAAGCTACATCCCTAACCTTTCTTATTTTTTATTTTGAGGTGAGGTCTCTCTAAATTGCCCAGGCTGTCCTTGAACTGCCCAGGTAATCCTCCTGCCTCAACCTCCCCCATCAATACATCTTATGTATTGAAACTAAATAGCATGTATCAATTTATAAAGTTCACACATTCTTTGACTCAGTAATTCTATTTCCAGGAACATATTCTGAGGATGTAACTGGATAAGAGTGTGAAGATGTACATATACAAGGATTTCTAATGTAAGGTGAAAATCTGGGCTATGCATATTACATGTAAATATATTTTCTGTATTCATGTATCCACAGACAGAAACACTGATTTTCTGTAAGAAAAAACTTTGTACTCTCTACATTGTTGTATTTGTTCCATAAACACTATGCATGTATTATAAACAAAACTAGTAAAAATGCTTTCACATATATACACGTGTGTGAATGTGTGTGTGTGTGTGTATTCTCAGAGTTCAGAGCCCACCCTCTCTGTGTGAGGCAGCCCCAGGTGGAGTACGTGACCTTGGGGTGCTGACAGCAAAGCAGCAGTTTTGTCCTGTACACAACCGAGGGTACCCTACTCCCTTCCGATCTGAATGCCCACGTGACAAGAAGACAAAGCCCAGGCCACAGGCAAGCACACAGCTGGCACTGGGCTCTCGGGTGTGACCCATCCCGGGCTCCACACATGTGCAGCTGTTGCCCAGCAAATGTCTGCAGAAGCCACAGGGTGGGCTGTGCGCACTTAGATCAGACTCTAACGTGGTGCCACCAAAGGTCGGAACGCCACGGCTTTTGGTTGGAAAAGGAAATCTTTGGGGGGGGGGCGGTACTGGAGATTGAACTTGGGACCTTGCACTTGCGAGGCAGATGGCAGAACCACTGAGCTAAATCCCCAGCCCTTAAGGGTTCCTGAATTAGGTGGTTTAGCTTTCCTATGGGTTTTTTTGGTACCGGGTATCAAACTCAGGTCCTTGTACTTGTGGGGCAGGAGGGCAGCACCACTGAGCTAATCCCCAGCCCTGAAAAAGGAAATCTTATTAAAACTTGTTTTATAAAGCATAGGAGTTTTGTATTTTAGTAAAATGGTTAGTCCACTATTTTTGTGAAAAGACTGAATATAAAAAAGCTTTCTGACTGGTAAAACCTATTTCTAAGCTTATAAAACACTGTTACCATATGAAAGCTTCTTTTATTCAAACTCAGGAACTAGCAAACTTTTTCTGTAAAAAGCCAAATAATAAATATTTTAGGCTACGCAGGTTGTGTGGTCTCTATGGCACTGACTTAACTCTGCCACCGTAGTGAGAAAGCAGTAACATATGATATGTAAATAAACAGCTATCACTGTGTCCCAGTAAAACCCATTTACCAAAATAACTGGTGGGGCAGATTGGCCGTCCAGCTGCAGCCAAGCCATACTTAGACGGTCAGTTGCAGAAGTGACCTCCTTTTCTGTATCTGGTGCTGGAGATCCAACCTGGGACCCCAAGCTGCACTGCACGCCCAGAGTATGTAGATACGACACGCACCATGCTCAAGTGAACATGCTTAGAGGATGTGCCCATTAGGAAGACGTCCTAAGTTAACCACACCACCGACCCACCAGGACGGCCTCCAAGGGCCAGCTTTGGCCCTGACTTGACATAGCAGAGAGACGGTGCTGCCTGGGTGCCCAGAGCTTGAGCAAACCCCTGATGCAAAGCTACTTACAGCGAAGGGGTGGTAGGGGGCGGCGGGCGGAGCCCCTCGGGGCCCTGCTGGTGGAGGCAGCATGGACAGTCCTGTTGAAAAGATGCCAAGTGCGCTGAGGTTCAACCCCGGTATCAGACTGGCTTGTTGCTGGGAACAGAGATGGAGAAAACAGATGAGGGGAGGGAGCCAGAGGCCCAGCTGGCCTGGGTCAAGGGCCTCTCTCGTCTGCAGCACCAGCACCTCCCAGTCAGCTGTGGCCTGGCCCAGGGATCTTTCCCCCTTGCACCGGAGGTGGACACCAGCCCAGCCTGACCATGGCGTCCCTTCAAAGCTTCTCTGCAGCCTGGGGACATCTACACATCGTCACATGGGAAACAAGGGCTTCCTTGACACCCAGGCCACTTCGCCAGTCTCTCTCCTGCCAACTCCGCATTCCCACCCTGCTCAGTCAGCTCCCGAGACACCCCATTCCCTCTCAGCACTGGGTCTCCCCTAAGAGCTTCTCTCCCACTCACCCAGCTAAGTCCTCGTCTCCCTGGGTTTCCCCTGAGCTTAGGGTCCCCTCTTCTTCCCTGAAGGTCTCAGCCCAAAGGCACTGTCTGTGCTCCCTGGAAATTTTAGCCCGTGTTTCCTTAAAATAGCACTCATCCCATGGTGCTCACTTAATCACACCTTCCCCTTTTAGACCATAATTTCCTCGAGGATGGAGGCTGTTTTATACTTAGCTTTGTGATCTCGGTGCCTGGTACACAGTAAGTACTCAATAAATATTTGTTAAAGGACACAGTGAAAACAAATTGGACTAATGGTTTTTCTAATTATAGCCAGGGAGAGAGCAAACCCTTTATTAGGAGAGCACAGAGGTAAATTCCGCTCCCCAGGTGAGGGATGGCTCACAGCTTCTGTGTCTTCATCACACGGTTGCCAGCTTCATGATCATTTTGCCTGCATATTTCACACTTAAACCTGGGGATGCCCACGGGGTAGCGTTGAGTCCCAACTACACAGCCCTTCAGAGGTGCAAGGAATGAATAGTCACCCATCTAGCCCTTGTCTTTGTCTCCCTCAACAGGAAGCAGTTTTCTGACCTTTTCCACTTTCTTCTCTGTGGCTCCAGTCTCCCACAACTTTCCTTCTTTTAGAATATCTATACTGGAACAACAGCTCTGGGGTCCCTCACCTCTGCTTCACTTGCTAAGACCTGGGAATTCTGTGACTCATCTGTTAGGGCATGGCTTTGGTACAAACTCCAAGGACTCTAAGTGATACCTCAGGTAATGACATTTGGAGTACCCAGACCCTTCTGAGCATTTCCAGATGTTCGGGGAAAGAGTTGTTTATTATGAGCCCAAAAGAACAAAAAAGAGCCAACATGGTGGTGCACACCTGTGAGCCCAGCGCTCTGGAAACTGAGGCAGGAGGATCGTGGGTTTGAGGCCAGCCTAAGCTTCCTGGAGAGTTCAAGGCCAGCTTGGACTGCTACATAGTGAGACCTTAAAAGAAGCACGTCCAAACATGGGGAGAAGGTCACACTGCCATCTCCTCCTCCACCTCTCCTCACCCTTCGCATATGATGTGATGCTCGCTGCTCAGGTAGGGACTATGGTAACGCAGGGCACAGAGCACTGACTGGGTAAAGGACACTGGGAAGGACTGTGGTGAGGCAGCCGGGGTTTTCCCACAGCGCTCTTTACCAACATTGCCAGGTTTGGAAGTGTGTTAGTCATCCACGGAGATGGGAGCGGGGTAAGGGTCCAGATGAAAGGGCAGGCTGTGAGTTGGTAACCGTGGAAGGGCTCATCAGAGCATCCTTTCCACTTCCGTGTACGTCAGAAATTATATAAAATGTGTGGAGCCTGGCTTTGCTGATGAACAATTATTTTTAAGATTATTTTGAATGCAAGACTGGTGATCCCTGCCAGGGATTTAGCTCAGTGGTTCCGCCGCCTGCCTTGCAAGTGGCAAGGTCCTGAGTTTGATCGCCGGTACCAAAAGAAAAAAAGACTGGTGATCCCTGTAGCTGACCCCCTTGCCCAGTTTACTAGCAGGCCATAGGGGGCACAGGCTTCTTGCTCTCCCATAATTCAGTGTATTATATTAAGAGCCTGATGCAGGGTACGTGACTCATATGGGCATGCTGAATGGTGCACAACTGAGTACAGCCCCTTTGCCAACAGGGCTATAGCAGAGACCTAAGTCCTGGTCTGTGAAGCTGACTGAGGTATCACTGAGGCCAAGGACAGTGTGGCTCCATCTGAATTCCTTTCCCTGAATTAGCACCCCCACCCCCCGCCCCACATGACGGGCTACTGGTTAATTACAACTCAGTCCTGGTCTCCCTTTGTTCCTTCTGCAGATGCTTTGCCCCCCTTTAAGAGCCTTGCCTGTGTTAACTGCTATCTCCAGATGTCTCACATATGCCCTGCCCTATTTCTTCCCAGCTTGTAATCAATAAATACTGGAGGTCTTGGGTGCCTGGTGTTTTTGCTACCAGCTTGGACCATCCCTGTTCCCACTTTCCTTTCTGTTTAAGTCTTGTTTCCGTATCTTCCTTTCGCCTTATGTTGTAGCCACTAGGCAGGAGATTGGGCTTAAGGCCAGGGTACCCACTTTCTATCCCCATTATAAAGTGGGGAACTAGGTAGCGATAACAGGAAAGACAAACCCAAACCAGTTTACTAGGAGCGCTCAGGCAGGTGACAACATTAGATGCAGATCAGCAAGTAAGAGATGTGAATCAAAAGTCAATTTTAAAGCATATACATATCTTTTAAATTTAAAAAGTAGCAGGACAATATTACAGAAGGTTCTGAAGTTAGGGAGGAAAAAAATCCTACTTTCTTCATACCAGCTATTTTAATTTTTCTATGTAGTCTCATCATTATGATCCATATTAATTTACACAATTTATAACCCCAGTCTGATAACTTTTTCTTTTTTTTTCGTACCAGGGATTGAACTTGGGACCTTGCGCTTGCGAGGCAGGTGGCAGAACCACTGAGCTAAATCCCCGGCCCTGATATCTTTTTCTTTATAATAAACACTGTATCATAAGCGGTTTCTCATTTTATAGTCTTCAGAGTTATTGTTTTAATGGCTTCATACTATTTTGCCCACTTTTGTGTTTTTCATAATTTCTTAGCTGTTTCCTGATTGTTCTAATGCGTTTACTCTAAGAACTCAGGGAAACTCAATATACCGAATCTAAGGCACCTCCTCATTAGCTCAGAGACAATTCTTCTTAGAGAGGTTTGGGTCCTTCATGGAAACACACAGAAAACCAGTGGCGAAGAAGCATCAGGCACTCACATTAACAGCCAGCATGTCGTTTTCAAAGGCCTCACGTAGCTTCTTCATAATCTCTACCTCAGCACTGGCACAGGCTTCCACTGGGCCCTTCACAGTGATGGTTCGCTCAGGGTTGTATATGCTCAAGTCCTGCAAACTGGCCAGTGGGAAAAAGAAAGAAATTCCTTTTCTGACACAAAAAATTAAGTTTCAGAAAAATTACAATCAAGTTTTGGCAAAGGAGAAGACTGGATTCCCTCACAAAGCATTCAAACCTGACTGATGACTTAGATGGTATCAGTGGGAAATGTGTTATTGGTAACAATGTAGTTGTTTTGATGATGATGGAGATAACTGCATCACTTATGATTATATTCTCATTCCAGGGAACAGCAGATAAATGAGCGGGGCATACCAAAATGTTTGCGCTACTCATTACTGGACACAATCTGAACGGAGAGCTTACGATGAGATTGTTATCTTGGTCCCCGTCTCATGTTCAATTTTCTTCAAATTTCTGCCTTCTTTGCCAATCAGTCTTCCGACCAAGCCATTGTGGGCCAAGATTTTCAGAGGAATCTCCTCAGCTCTAAGAGACAAGCAATTATTTAACACTTAGAAGAGACACGATGGTTGCCTCTAAACAGCCACTGCCCAGCTTTTTTCTTACAAATGGAAGCCATTTTGTTCAGGTACCAAGTGGAGAGGCCAGGCCCCTCACCAAGCCCAGGCTCATGAATTTTGATTAACATAAACTAAAACCATGATAATTCTACTTCCTTAATAGTAATTCGTTGGAAGTGGGTCCATGAGGTAAATCTGGCCAAAGAGCTATGAATTAGAAATAGAACTATCATATAATCTAGCAATACCACTTCAGGATATCCGAAAGAACTGGAAACAAGTTCCTAAAAGAACCATTTACAAACCCATGCTCACAGCAGCACTATTCACAAAAGCCCAGAGAAACAGCCCAAAACATCCACCAGCAAATAAATAAATAAATGTGGTACACACACACACACACACACACACACACACACACGATTATTACTCTTCCTTATTCAAAGAAAAGAAAAACTGGTGACAAGCTACAATATGGATGAAGCTTGAAGACAGCATGTCTATGAAATAAACCAGTCACAAAAAGACAAATACTGTATGATTCCACTTATATAAGGTATCTCAAGTAGTCAAATTCATACAGACAAGGAGCAGAATGCTCGTTCACCAGTGGTGATGGAAGGGAGAGTTGTTTAATGAGTACAGAATTTCAGATCTGCAAGATGAAAAATTCTGGACATTTATTTCACAACAATGTGAATCAATTCACTTAAACACTATTGAACTGAATACCAAAATAGTTAAAATGATAAATTTTATGTAACGTATATTTTACATTTCTTACAAACATTTTTTAAATGGTGCAAGGAAAGATGACATCTTTTTCAAGTCTGGAGGATTTTCCTGTGGAGACACAAGGTCTGAATCACTACAACCATCCTACCAGCACCAAGACGGTCTGAGACATGGTGAGCTAGGCAGCAAAATGTTCCGGTCTTTAAGCCCATGATTCAGCTGACCCTGGAGTCATGCTAGCTTTAGGACTTTGTTATGTGATTGTAATTTCTTACTACTCACATCACTTGTGCTTTCTAAGGCAGCTAACAGATGCATTACTGTTGTCTCAAAATAAACAGGATGCTTGGAGAAATTCAACTAGGATGTAACTTGTAGGGCAGGGACTTTCATCGGCTTTGTTTACTTGCGTTTCATGCATATAGAATAGTGCTGGGACACAGGAGCTGCTCAATAAATTCTTGGTGAATGGATGAAAAGAAAGTTCTGAATCCCTGATCTCCTATGTCTTTTTTTACCTTCTACTTCTATTCCCCCTCCTTGGGGCTCTGTCACCTACACAGCAAGGGCTTCTCTGAAAGCCTCAAGTCCCTTCCTGTCCCCTCAAAACCTCAATGAGGGCCTCTCATTACATGCAGACATAAGACACTACGCTTCTCTGCTACAGCATGTATTACACTGCACTTAGTTACTTACTGGTGTAATTATGTGTTTAATGCGTAATTATGTGCTTAATGCATGTCCTTCCCACTGGAATGCAAGCTCCATCAAAGCAAGGGCTGGATCTTGTTCATGGTTGCATTGTCAACACTAAGCAAAGTGCTTAGCATGATGTAGGCACTCAGAAAAATTTACTTCAAAGACATTCAAACTCTATCTTGGCCTTACATAAAAACATTAAAAACCCAATTTACACATCAGCCTTTTTGACTATTTAGACTTCCGTAGATTCCTTGCACCTAGGTCAAAGAACCAAGAAAGATGTTATTGTAAAACTCTCAGTAATCTGGAAGAGAGAAAGGTTTCCTCAGTTTAAACAATGGCATTTGTTGGGATTTCAAAAGCCCCAAATAGAGCAACTAATGCATAAATGAAAGATTAGAGTCTCTGATGAAACATGAGTATGGATTTGCAATGTTCCTCTTCTAAAAACGACTTTCATCTTCTCAGTCTGGGAACAGTAGTGCTTGACGTTATCTGCCGAATTCATTTTATATCTCAGTCATCCCTCATCGCTTCTCTATAAAACTTCCACTAGTGCCCATGGATTTGCCAAACTGACAGTCTTTTTTAAAGTAATATGGTCTATTCCACTCCCATTCATTCATTCATTCATTCATTTGTAATACAAAATCAACTCACTTGGTAAGAACTTGCATTTGCCATTCAAACTGACACAAAGGTCAATTCTACAATGGACTCCTAAGAAGTATTTTATATCTTACAAAAAAAAGTATTTCATAAAGGAAAAGGAAGCAGGAGATAGAAGAAAAAAGAGGAAGAAGAGTAAAATAACCATCTGGAAGCCACCTTCTACCACTGAAGGAAATAACATCTAATTTTAAGACTGGAAATGGTTTAAAAGCCTGGTAGAAAAGTCCTTTTCCAGAACACTAAGGGACTGTGTTTTAGCGGCGATGCACATTGTATACCTACCTTGTCCATTAAGACACATACTAGCAGCTGCAGACAGGCAGATCTGCGGACACTGTACCAAGGTCGCGAGTCACACAGAACACAAGGAATCAGCCCGTGCCCTGGCAGCAATCCACTGGACATCCCGCCCCCCCACTCCTCTGGCCTCCTCTCTGTACAGCCACCTGGTTCCACACTACAAAGACGCAGAGGACACTGGATCAACAGACCACTGTACTGGGTAAGTTGGAGTCATCTTCACCTCCCATCAGGACTGGGACTATCTTTAGGGGAAGGGCAGCTGGAACCTGCAATACACCTCTGCAGAGTTCAACCCTATGGGAGGACAGGGAGCTCAACTTGGGACTTGCAGCCAGAAATCTGCCTGAATCTCACAGGTCTGCGACTAGCTTGCTGAGACTCATTGACTTATATCTGCACACTGCTACCCACGTTGTCTACTGTGACAGCAGAGACATACCCTGAAAGAGGCCCTTCATCGTCATCGTTATTTTTTTATTCCCAAAATTAGTATTATTAGTTTGGGGTTTTTTTTCTCTTTTCTTTTCTTTCACTCCTCTTATCTTTAATTTTTTCCTACTCTTTGCAAATATTTGTTTCTCTCTCCTTTTTTTTCTTCTCTTTTCTCTTTCCTTTCTCTCTCACACTCACTCTCTTGCTCTCCCACATTGTTCATCTTTCCTTTTTGTCCCTGTTTTGGTCCTCATTCTGAGTCCTTCTTTATTTTCCTATTATTCTCTTTTTCCTCCTCACCTGTGTCCTCTGACCAAACTGCCAACCCTCCCCTATCCTTCTTCCCATCTCTCCCTCCCTCCCCAACCCCTTCTAACTCCCCATCCCAAAGGGTAAGGTTGTTATGTTGAAGAGTTTATTCACTATATGTTGGGTTGGTCCTCAATCTTGATTTAATTCACACAGCTAAAGGTGATGGATTAATAACTACCACAAAATGTCATTTTCAAAGATGTACTTGATGCAATGGTGTTGCTGATTGTATCACTTGGGCTAAGGTGTTGGACTTGATCTAGTCAATGAACCTTCCTAGTATAAGGAAAATGAGATAGCCTTAGAGTCATTAGAGATTCAAAACTTAAAGACCAGCTACATCTGGAAGACACCTCTGAGAAGCAATCATTCCATAAGGGTTCTAATTACAAGCAACAAAGATACCTAC